GGGTAAGGGTCCTACCAAATCTAGATGGACGTGGTCGAATCGAGCGTCAGGGGTTTTGAAAGAACCTAAGGGACATTTGTTGTGTCTGATTACCTTAGATTTCTGACAGCTTACACAGGAGCGTGACCACTCCCTCACGTCTTTATTCATGCCAGGCCAACAAAAGCGTTCGGCTATAATTTCGATTGTTGCACGAGCACCTGGATGAGGAAGATTGTGCAACGTATTGAAGACGTTGCGGCGATAGTGTTTTGGTACAATTGGACGATCCCTACCTGTAGATGTGTCACAGAGTAAGGTTTCCTTACCTGTTCCCATCTGCCTAATACTTAGTTTAAGAGTTGTCGAGGATAACTCATGCTGAAGATCAATGTCTTCTTTTTGAAGCTGAGCGAGTTTAAGAAGGTCGATTCCTTGGAAACTGTTCAAGGAGCTAATTCGAGACAAGGCGTCTGCGACTACCCTGTTTGCTCCAGAAATATGTTGTATGTCTGAAGTAAACTGCGAAATGTAGTCGAGTTGTCGAGACTCTCTTGGTGAGTACTTGTCTGAAGATGAACTTAAAGAGAAAGTAAGAGGTTTATGATCGGTAAAGAGCGTGAATTCTCTTCCTTCGATGGAATGTTGAAAATGCCGTACAGCACAATACATAGCTAGGAGTTCCCTACCGAACGTGCTGTACCTAGATTCAGCGTCTAACAACCGTCTCGAGAAAAATCCTAAAGGTTGCCACGAGTTGTTAACCCATTGTTGTAAGACTGCTCCGATTGCTGAGTCGGATGCGTCTACGGCGATACTAATGGGCGCTTGACTGTCCTGATGAGCAAGCAAGGTTGCTTTAGCGATGTGTTCCTTAACTGTGGAAAATGCTTTACGGGCTGTGTCGTCTAAACTAATTGATTTCGCATTTCCACGAAGCTGATCGGTCAACGGTTTCATTAGGGATGCGCATTTAGGTATGAACCGTCTATAGAAACTTACGAGTCCGTTAAAAGTTCGTAACTGCTTGATCGTGGTCGGTTCTGGGTAATCCAGAATGGCCGCCACTTTGCTCCTAAGGGGTCGGATGCCTTGGGCATCAATGGTGTGTCCTAAGAAGTCTAAGCAGTTAGTTCCGATTTGGCATTTCTGAATGTTGACAGTAATGCCATGCCTTTGAAGTCGATCGAAAACAATGTCCAGATGCTTGAGATGCGATTCTCTGTCCGGACTTGCTATTAGACAGTCATCAACATACGCATGTACGAAGTTGAGACCTCGGAAGACGTCGTCTATAAACCTTTGGAAGGTTTGAGCCGCGTTTCTTAAACCAAAGGGCATTCGTAGAAATTCGTAAAGACCGAAGGGAGTGATGATGGCGGTTTTAGGAATGTCGTCAGTTGCCATCGGGATTTGGTTATAAGCTTTAACCAAGTCGATTTTCGAAAAGACAGTTGTACCTTTCAAGGTAGCTGTCAAATCGTGAATATGAGGCAGCGGGTAACGATCGGGAATGGTTTTAGCATTCAGACGCCGATAATCACCAGTTGGCCGCCAATCATTGCTGTCCTTTTTAGGGACCATATGCAATGGGGATGCCCATGGACTATTCGATGGTCGAATTATTCCTAGGTCCATCATGTGGTTGAATTCGTTTTTAGCTAACCTAAGCTTTTCGGGAGCGAGTCTTCGGGCTTTCGAAAATACAGGTGGTCCTGTAGTCGAGATGTGATGTGTAACATTGCTGGTTACACAAGGTAATTTCGATTGCGATTGGTATATCCAGGGGTATTTGTCGAGTACTGCTTGGTACAAGGGGTCTATGGCGTGCTTAATCGTGACTGGGGATAACCTGCAACCAGAACAAGGAGTTACGCAAACGGACAACTTAGTGTTTCCGTCTATTAACCTTAGTGAGCGTGTGTCGATGAGTAGATTGTGGTGTTGTAACAGGTCAATACCAATGATTGGCATAGAGACATCTGCAACCACGAAAATCCAGTGTATGGGTTTACGTAAACCCACGTTAAGGTAGACGTACCTTTTACCGTAAGTAGCGATCGGCTTTCCGTTTGCCGCCTGTAAACTTAAAACAGACTCGCGAAGTCTGTCGTCGAGATTTGCTGGAAGAACGCTAACTTCTGCGCCAGTGTCGACGAGGTAGCGAACTTTCGTAGTCACATCCGTGACATATAAGAGGCGGCTGTGTTCGCCGGCTACGGTTGCCGTTAACGCGTGCCGGCTGGGAAGTTTCCCGAACTGTTTTTCGTGTCACTCGATTTTGGGGTCGGATAATTGCAAGGTTTCCTGCAGTTTCTGGAAAACTTACCGTACTGGTTATGATACCAGCACCAGTCGGGATTGTCTGTCTCTCGTGGTCGAGAGCCAGATCGCTTACGTGAGGCACTTCTACGCGGGGTTTTTGACCGACTACGGTCATTGCGAACTCTAAGATATCGTGTAAGCGTGTGACATAGTTCGGCCATGTCAGTCGAGGTCGATTGGGGTTTTTCTTTGACGGAAAAAACCTCGGCCTTAGAAGATCTAGTGATTTCCAAGATTCGATCGGCAGATGCAGCTAGTTCATCTATGGCATTGTTTTGAAATGAAACAAGCACTGCCTGCACCTGTTGAGCGAGTTTAGACAAGAAAAGTTGTCTAAATAGGCCATCATCGAAAGTTCGTTGGCCGATGACTTCTCTCATTCTAAGCAACATGTCCGTCGCAGAACCATGTTGAAAGTCGATATTGTTAAGGAGTTGGTCTAACCGTTGTCGATCAGTTAGGTCTCCTCGTTTTAAAATCGATAGCTTAAGCGATTCGTAAGGTTCGGAAACATCACTAGTGAACATACTAGGTGTTACGTACCTGTTAAACTCGCGCGGTAACGCCTTAACTACCGCGAGGAAACGTGTGCGCGAGTCCGTGATTCCGTGCATGCAAAAATCGGCTTCTGCATAGCAGAACCAGGACTCGATATTGTCGGGCCAAAATGGCGTTAACTGAATCGAAATAGGGGGAATAGACTTTAACTTAAAAACCTTGGGTGAGTGTTCCGTCATAGTAATATAGCTAACGAAAATGTCTAATTAAAATATATCCGGAAAAAAAAAATTCGCGAAAAAAGTATATCACAATATATAAAATTCAAATAAAGAATAACAATGAATAATAATATTCCAAAATGGAACAGACTCACAGTATATTGACTTGGTGTACCAGATCACGTCGGGTTCACCAATGATGATGCAACGGATATTCTAGTTTTACAACTAGATACCAGTAGCACCTTCTAAATTCGGTTGTTTCCAGTCAGATAGAAAATCAGAAGTCAAACGAGAAGAGGCAGGAAAGATATATTTGATTCGTTACCAATATATCGAGGACCTTTTCTATGAGCTGGCTAATGAAACGTAGGAGCTGTGTCCCACGCAGTATTGAAACGTGATCTGGTGCGGATGCATGCTCGAAAGCCTTCAGCTAAACAAGTCCACTTAAACAACGTGGTCAGCATCCAATGTCGAACACTTAATGAGCTATTGATTTTGGGGAATTATTTACAGCTACAGAGTCATTCACTGTCATAATATCTATATTATAAACAACTTAATCTATGGTCTTACTATGACCTCTTTTTTAATAAATATCACCGATCTGTCACAGCAGGCATCGTCTGATTCATTACTTTTCGCTGATGATGTGAAACTCTGGAAAGATGCTTTCAATATAGGTCAGAAGTGGGCACATCAGGAGGGTCTGACTCGACCTTAAATTTGGGCAGACGACAACGGCTTCGAAACGTGAAGTGGTCTATCTGAGACATGCTGTAGACCACGGATGCAAATTAGGTAATTCCCCTTTAGATACTTTCAAAGTTGAAAAATATCCGAAAGTGTTGGCACTCTGTTATCTGAAGTCTTACGCTGTGATAAAAAATGCCTTTCGGGGAAAACTTTGCACTGGTAAGTTTGAATAGCATTTTTGACCAGTTCGACGGTAGAACTTTCCATATGATCTTCAACAATTTTATTCAATCTCATTCAGAGCAGGGAAATATAATGTTTCCTTCTCCACTTCAAAAGGACAAGGATACATTGGAAAGTATCTAACGGCGAGTTGCGAAATCAGTTGGAGGACTCGAATTCGAGCCTTATGAAGCGCTCGTTCAATCAGTGAACCCTCATCCATCAAAGTATAGGCATCTAAGAAGTGGCTTTTTAATGACTTCTGGGCATCTCTTTAAATGCCTACTTAAGCTCAGTTCTAGCACAAATCTTAGGGACAGCATCCTGAAATTAGTGACACAACATAACAGAACGGACAATATACATACCTTTTATTCCCTAAGATTAGTTAAATGTTGCATATCGCTGCTGACTGAGCCAGTACAAGAGACTTTCCAGAAATCCTCTAAGAGAAAATTTGACATATTCTCAAGGACTAAGGACGACATCTCACTATAGTTTATTGATATTCCTCAAATATATTTAGATTTCGACCAGGAGGTATCGGTATTTCACTGGCAGTAGATAAGGAAGCCCGTTAAACGAAGGCTTCTTGTGTTCCATTCAGCACATTTTACTCTTTAAACACTGTTAAGGCAAGAGAGTGAAGATATCAATTATTTTCATCTAGCTTGTGACTAAGTTTTAAGAAGTGTTCCAAGGCGGATGATTTGAGGGCCAGATATCAAAATCAATAGACAAATACAATATCACTTTAACTCAAATAAATTCAATTAAAGTGTAAACAGTAGTTTTTGACTAGTAATCAAAACTGTATATTTAACTCAACGAGAAACAACACTACTAGTTCTCAAAGTCGTTTTCGTTACTTGAAGGATGGACGTTATCATACATAGTGTGGCTGAACCTAATTCACATCTGAAAACGTCTTGATTTGACCGCTTCTGTGGACCTTACGAATTGTTGAGGTGACGCACCAATCGTTTCACGACAACCTGACCTTCAAGTGCTCAGCAACCTCCACTAGTGGACGATACCCTGGGAGCGTTGCTTCTTATGTCTGTGTTTACGTTTCTATCTCGTTCCCTTCCCCCATCAATTAACATACCTGGAGTAACATCTACTCTTTGTGTCAGCCAAAAGGTTTTTTGTTCGATACTTCCTCACTAAAATGTAGCTTCTGCGGTTGTATGGTCACATCTTTTCTGACTCCACTGGTGTTTATGCATTTGGACCTGAAGTACTTCGATCTCTGCGAAAGCTGGAAAGTTTAGTTGACAATAGCATGTTACAGTTAGGAGCTCAGCGTGTTTTACTACCAACGTTAGGTCCGAGACATATTTGGGAAAAGTCTGGTATGTATATATACTGTCATTATCAAACGTACAGGTCGATGGTCCACCATGCAAAGTAGCTTATTCAGAGTCAAAGACAGATTATCTCATGAGTACTGTTTACAGCCAGTAATATTTAATTCCCTCACATTCTGTTAGACCCATGAAGAATATATAACCAATTTCGTTGCCTGTCTAAATTTATCGTATAAATCCCTCCCTGTTTTGGTGTATCAGGTAAGTTACGTAAAAATACTTATGTTTTCAAGATAACCAGCAAATTTCGAGATGAACCTCACCCTAAACACGGTCTAGTCAGGGGACGTGAGTTTTTAATGCAAGGTGCTGGCACTTTATCCTGCTAATTGACTTCCAGACATTTACACATTTGATGCTTCTGTCGAAACGGCTGAGAAAACGTATAAACGTGTAAAGACTGCATATTCTGACTTGATGGTTAACCTTGAGTTACCATACCTAGTTGGTAAGCAGGCCTTTTTTGTGGCTAGTTAATTGTATATAATTGTGCTACGTCAATTAATAGATGCCACTTACAAATTACAAAGTACTGAGTATCTTAAGGCAAATATTTAATAAGACTCGACTATTTTAAATATGCTCTGTCTACATAAAAACTACTTGTATAGTCTTTGTTAGTAATCTGTCAACCCTTGATTTTAGGTTCTAAATGCTGTGTAGCTAACATCAGTCCTAAAGGTTAACTGTTAGACCTCACAACTTAGTACTCATTTCGAGCTCAGAGTCCTGTAGTTCTGGTTAGTTTCCGCACGGTAGTTGATAAAGTGTAATTATATCCACTGACGGGTTATTGCGGTTCACCTGAATTTTTCTAATATATCCCCTTGTATTCTATTTAAATTCCTAACACTCAATTAATTAGATCTGAACTTTAGGGTATTTCAGGGATATAGACCCTTAGAACGAATTAGCAGTGATGTGAAGGAGGAATATATTCTGGTTTTAATCTCCAAATTGTTGACGATAGTAATGAGTGTGTACTTTGACAGCTCATATAAAAAGTGTCTGAATATTCTCTTAGATTATTATGTCAGTAGAAAGCACTCGACAAATTAAAAATCATATCAGTAAAAACTGTAAATCATTACAAGTTTCCGTTGTCCGATTTACGGGTATCTGAAGTAAATGCATTATCGATTCACTCTTGAGAAATAAATTTGAAACATTTGTTCCGTTATTACGTTGCACACAAGTGACATAGATTTCAACCGACGTGCATGTTATGCAAAGACATATCTGTACATTCAAAACAGATCATGCTGATTCTCATGAAAGCGAATTGTCTTAGTCATAACAATCAGTAGTCGTCAGATTGTCTCATATACATTTGAGGTAAAATAAAAGATGTTGCGAATCACTGATAAAGTCAGGTTTTATGGACGTTCTTATAAAGTAACGGAATAAAGCTAATGTCTGGTGGTTAACTACAAGAACTATATCAACACCGTATACATATTAACCTTATCTCGGTCTCTTTTAATTTACCGTAGAGTGGAATCTCTCAGTTCTTTTTTTCATTTCTTCAAGCTCTAATTTATTAACTCCATCTGTTATATCCTCACATCTTTCGCATCCCCTTTTAAATCAAGCATGTGCAGATCCAGGTAATGTTGGTGGTCTCATTTCAGAGGAATTTCACGTTGAAGCTGATATAGGAGAAGACCGAATATTAACGTGCTCAAAGTGAGTTGTAATGAATTTCGCGCTATTCTGATTAACACATTTAATCACATCATATAGATTCAAGCAGTTCTACCCACTTTTCTGATTGGTCTTTACTTAAAAAAGGAATACGTTCACCGTGAATAACCATGCTTTGCAAAATCTATCAGATGTGATTGAGCGAATACTGCAAATGTAACTACCAGAACTATTTTACGGACTATTATTACTTAAATTTTTACTTTATAATTATTAAGACGCTGGCTGTAGCTGAAATAATATACGCGGGCAGTGTAAACACAACCAGCATTTTTATTGGCGAATCATTAAAACAGTAAACCAAAAGTGCATCGACCTTTTTGGTTTCACTGGACCTCGTTAAACCTAAACTTCGACTAAGATACTTCTCATAAGTCGCTTTCATTAACTTTAAGGTTTTTTCAAAGATTGAAAGTAAGATCTTTGCATTTGAAACGTGGTCGATAGTTTCAAATAAACAAAGTGCCATGGTTTGATTTACCTGTTAACTATACAAATGAAAATGATCATATTAGCTGTCAATGGACTTACATTTATCGCGTACATCGAAGTAATGTACCTTTTCTGTGTAAATTCAAAGTATTGCCTTACAGTGGACATCATAGTATCGATAAACTACATTCTGTTAATCTTTCCTTTGACAAGTCATACTACTAGAGAATGGTTAGTTTTTGAAAATTAACAAGTACTTAGTGCATTATGAGTACCATTTGCAGCTTTTGGAGCAGCCAATTATATATGAATGATTAATAATAAATCCCAGTTTTCCTGTCTAATTTAAGCGGCACGAAAGTATGTCATTTGATATGCACAAAACGTAAGTCCTTTGGTCCAAACGATAACTTGACATCAATCTTCTGTAAGTTGATTATAGTGTAAAATGAATTAGGCGAAACTGATTGCACCTCAACATCTATCGGCAACTATAAGAGCCGTCAGTTATAAGCAATGTAGGACTTGGTACGAATGTGCATTAGCCCAAGGTGCTGCACCATATCACCGAAGCTTGGTGAAGTTGTCAAAAGAAATATCATTGAGGTAGTATTAGTGAAGAGTAAACATCAAATATACCTGAAGATAATTGTAAAATATTATGAGAAACCCAATGTTAGGTCGAAATAACGGGTGACTCATACGGCACTAAAACTGTTTCGACTCCCGGATAATGCCCAACTCTAATAAGTTAAAATGGTTGCTTGTCCACTCGGCATAACTCAAATTAAACATACGAAAATACTTTGTTTCCGAAGGTTGTTCTCGAGGTACTGATATTAAGATATACATATGTCCGTCCAATACATGTTCATATTATCTAAAACAAGGAACGCTGGTTTCCAGCAAATCCGTATCTTGTAAAAACCATGTCTATTTTAATGTGAAGAATATTCTTTTTCGTATCTTGTCCCAAAATTATGGCAAGGTATCTAACTCCACGTTTATCTACTACTTTACGGATATACTAACATTTGTTCACATATTTTGTTTGTATAAATCTTGAACTATAAAATCAGTTTATTTTTTTAAATCTGTCCAAATACCCATCACACCTCTTGATTCATTTCAGATGCTCCTTGAAATTCAATTCTGAACTTGAAGGTATTTATCATTATGAAGGAAATTACTTACAGGTGAAGTTACCAGCTCCCTCTGTTCCTTACAATCTTGCCCAAAAGTATTCCATGAAGTTCAAGGTATAGAAGTAAGTAACCAAGAATCACCGGCTAAATACTTATTGTCCCCGTTCGTAAAAATCTTTCCAGCTGGTGACATTTGACCTGACACAAGCCGCCATTACTTCAACATGCCCCTTAGTTAACTGGACGCATTATCACCAAACAATTTTGAAGTCATTGTAGATTCATAGCACAACAATGATATAATGCTTGCGTGATCAACTATGTGAATTCATTTGTTTGAGTAAGGATTATTCTGAAACTGAATTAATAATGAACACCTTTCTCAGCGAATGGATATTAGAGAGAACTCGCCAGCACAGTGTTTATATTTTTATTCAAGACACAATCAATCCTAAATGATTTATTGTTTTTGTCCTCTATTTGAGCATCCCCAACTAGTTGGATACCTGTAGTGCTTTAAGTCATGGGAATATAAGACTCTCGTAGCTTACTATGTGACATGAAAGATTATGTTTATCATTATCTAGTACATATCATTTAATACTGTTTTAAGGGCATACTTTTACCGAACTGATGAAAGATACCCAGTAATGTGGTTGGAAATATCCCTAACTCGTTGCTTCCGAAGTAGCTTTACAGGTTTCATTTGATATCACTATGTACTTAGTTTTGAATATCGCCATTTGAACACTTTCATGTTTATCTTTTCTTAAGGTCGCCCACTGTTTCCTATTGGGAGAAAGATATTCAAAGTGCTTTGATGCCACTTATCGATCCCCTTCAGGCTCGAAGTAAGTTACAGTAAAACTACATTGTCTTAATCATTCTTTTAATGTTTGGAAATTTTACGTATGATGTTTATCTCATAAAATGACTCACATTACCTCATTTTATATCCTAGACTTATGTTCATGGGGTGCTATGGTCTTGGAATATCACGTCTACTTGCCGTCTGCATCGAACACTTGACAAGAGTTGCATTTCCTGACAAGTCCAAAGATCAGATCACACAACTTCGATGGCCTGTTCGGATCGCACCATACAGCGGAGCAATAGTTCTACAGAAGGTAGTTGGTTTGTATTTCCAACAATATAGGGACCTTTAAATATGGTTTCTAACGACCGAAAAGTTCAGTTCTCGTAGTGTTGTATTACTACTACTACTACTACTACATATTTTCGTAATAAGCTGATCATAAAGCAAGTATGTCTTACTTCTGTACACACCTATTAAAGTGATGTCAACAACTGATTACGCAGTAAGCACATATGACTGAGATGACAGTATGAATGCTAGCTTTTTTTGCTGAATCATCACGAGGGTTCGATCGTTATAAATAAGCACTTCACTAAAATTTCTCTGCAAGTGGCTGTAGGAATGTCGTGATTACGAAACACCAACAAGCTACATTTCAGACAATTATGACTTTTTTTCCATTTATTTAAAGGAAACGGCCAAGGATAGTGTGAATCCAGATGAACTGAAATATATTCTCGATACCATTCAAAGTGACTCCATCAACTTCAAATTACCTGGTGACATTTTGGTGGATGATCGCATGGGATTAAGCTTGGGTAGAAAAATTCTGGACCAAAGCCGCTTAGGAATACCTTGGATACTTACTGTAAAGGTACTTATAAATTCGTAAATTTGATTTAAACACCTACCATATCACTAACACTGTACACTGAACGAGGTAAAGGGTATGTGTGATAACTATACCGACTGAGTGTTGTTGTCTAACCTGGGCAGTTTTTCCAAGAGTCCTTCCCTACGGACATTATCACCAGCAGAAACGTTAGATAAGGGTAAGTTATCCGAATCTCTCCACATATGAGATCTTGTCCTGTCGAGCTTGGTTGTTGACGCTTATCACGCCCAGAAGGACATTAATAGTTTCACGATTAAACCACTCAAATTAGAGAACGAAACTCCATTGGAGCTACAAATCTTCTCCAAGATTAACATACTACCGAACTGAACCAGGTTAATATTATGATTCATACAAAAAACTAAACCCCAATACTTTAAACCTGGATAAATGGTGAACATACCGTTAGTAAACTGGCGTTATTTTAACCTATCAGGGTTTGAAGTCACTAACTTCTAGTCTGAGCCATGTTGGCAGATGCAGACTACCTGGTTGGGGTCCGCGTGACTATCGTAACCAGTCGTTGGAGACTCTAGGTGACATGGCTCAGAATCGATCACAATGGCGTAGGTGTATACACTCTTTATCTTCCCTTAAACCTTAAGATTAAAATTGCTCCATATCTGTCTTCCTTCCTGTACTATATCCTTATATACAACCTATAATTTATATACTACTACCACCACTAAATTAATTACTTCTATGAATCCGGTGTTCATCTTGTTGTGCTAACGAGGTATGGCAACTTGGACCGATGCATAAATGTGCCTGGTCCTACGTTGTAGCTGACTGACTGACTGCTGCAAAATCAAAAATGCCATCAACGAAGATGAAACTAGTTTTAGATTGTGTAAATAAGACTACAAATTCAACCATCATTGAGTGGTAAGAATCTCATTTTAGAAAAGTTAAAGTGATAATCCAATGTTCTGCGTTGGAATTACAGAACTATACTGAAATCAGTATATTCTCTAACCTATTTTTTATGTTTGGATTACTAAGATTGATATAAGTGTAAATTACAAAACTACTGTTGCTAAGTTATTTTCCTAGGAGACCATTTATGTGCTTATCGTCGGAGAAAGAGCGTTCTTTAAGTTATTTAGACAGCAGAATGAGTTTGATTTCAAGACCATAATTCTTTAAAATGACCTTAAATTGCCTTTAATCGTATCTCTTAATGATTTGTAGATAGCTGGCAGGTTGTGGTACTTTATTCGTTGCACATGACACAAAAGGAACCGGACGACAGCTACGTTTTGCCTAACTTGTGCATGCTACACATGAGGGATTCAACTTGCTTTGAGCCAAATGTATTTGCAGCTCTTTTAAAGTCACTTAAACATTACCTTGCTTGTACTGTAATGAGCGAGGGAACAACCGAATGTACTGTACTACAAAACTACGGAGTTCCTTGGTGAAATATAAGAACTATTGAATATTTCATTTGCAAATTTCTATCATTTGTCCTTTACACTCTGTATGACTAATCCAAGTCACAATTCCTTTTTATTTTCTCTTCAACCCGATCTTATGTCTGTGGATATAAGTAGCATATACCTCAGGACAACTGAATATTTTTTATCTGTTTCCCAAAGGTATTTTTTGGTAAGGCATTAAAAATGTATACTACCAAAAGGAAATACTATGTGAATAACTCGATTACTAGGCTTATCGTGACATACAGTAGTAACTGACCAAGTTCTAATGAAATCTGCTTTTAAAAAATCTGTATAAATACTGAATGGAGTCAGTTATAAGTTATTCAATTATTAATTTTCCCTTTAAAAACTTTTAGAGTCAGAGAGATGGCACATATGAATTGATTGATGTTTATAAAGATAGATCATGTGTAGCCACTCTAGAACAAGCCAGATCTGCATTCAATAACCCTGCAGTATTTGATGCATCATCTCTCCCTTCTTGGAATCACCACAATGAGCGCAATATAAGTGGGAACAAACTCGTTTAACTTGGTTAGCGCATACAAAACAAGTAAAGTTAAAAACTGTAATATAATTTAAAAACTAAAAAAATATGTACAATAAAAACTTGTTTGACAATTCACTACTTGTTTTTTGACCATACTCTATGCCACGTCGACTTGTTAGCAGAATTATTTTCTTTTAATTCCTTATTTCTCTGAACATCAGAACTTGGCGGATAAGGCTCTAAGAATCGACCAACTTTAATCTTTAGATCTTGCGAAACTCCATGTTTCGAACGTTTGTGAAGTTTTTTGGGAACCCACTTACCATACTTAAACTTCGGTTTGTCATTATTCATAGGAAATGAACAATTCGATGTTGACGACAATGTGTTTTTGGTAGATAGAGATAGATCACTTTTGCACGAAAGTTTAAGTGGAACTGTAGCAATCTCATAAGCACTGCAACTTCGAGAAAGATTGGCCATGCTCAACATATACGCAGGAGTTTCAGATATATATGGTAAACCCAGTGAGACCGACTAGAAATAAATTATATGGAATGTAAAAACATCATTTAGAAGTCTGCAAGACGCGTTAGATAAGACTAATAACAACGCCCCTGATACCTAACAAATTTCGGTAGGCAATTATGATCATATTAACTGATAAGCGAAAGAAATTCAAATATATCCAACTTCCTAGTTATATCAATTTTTATGTTAAGGTGATCAGACTTCATGTTAGAGTAAATGATGTCTTTCAGAAAAAAGTAAGACCTATTTTAAAGTTACCGGTTGTCAAATATAAATCAGACTAACAAAATAAACATGTCCGAGGTAAGTCCATCAAAGACAAAACTGTCAAAAAGTTGATTGCTTAAAGGTATTGGTGTTGCCGCAGCGTTAAAACTAAGTGTTCATGACTTTCACCGCCAGTTCCCAGAAAACATTTATTGCCGATAGCTAGATCACCATAACCTTTTCGTTGTATACCTATGAATACTTGTACATATCACTCATTGGTTACCACCGAAACACTGTTAGTTCATTTACTGTACACTCAAGTTTTCCTGAAAATCTAGTTTGATTCTCCAAATAGATGATATAACTACTTAAATGTACTAGGAATCATAAAATCCCCAAAAGTTGGACCGTCAAGTATTTAGGTTGCAGTTTATAGGTTTCGTAGATGTTACACAACGATAAACTTGAATAAATTAAATTTAAAATGCTAAGATGTAGGCTTCAAGGTGCTTTGTATGTTACACGGATCAAAAATATAACAAAAGTAGGATCTACATACAATGGGAGTACAATATGTGAACAAACTGGTTTGATAGTCTTATCTAATAGATGGATGCTTGAACCATTGTATGCGCTAGAAAATAACATATGCTAATATGTAAACACCCTTATTCGGTTTGGACACACAAATCGAATGATTTATGTGGTGCATATCTATTTGATGCCTCCTTGTACCAATGTTTATGTGTTTAAATAAATAAAACATCCTAATGGGTAACAGAAAAATTTATTCTTAAATAGATAAATCTTTTAAAATTGACAATGGATAAGCAGGTCAAACATACTTCTGAATTATGTTGTTTTTCATGTTCAGTTGATATGCTTGTAGCGGGCGTATTCAGCTCCATTTCAACTGAAATAAAAGTGGTCATATTGAGTTAATTATCATGATCACAAGAAATAACTGCAAACATTAAGATATAAGATAAGAATTACTTTGCCTGTAAGTTTTCTAGGCTCTGGAATAATTTACCTCAAACTCTCTCCTATTGTTTGTTCGCTCAATTAATGCCTTTTGCTCCTCTGAAAATGCATTAAATGCTCTAGCGCCTGCAAGTGTATCTTACTCCACAAGTGAGATTATCGGAACTTTAAGTGTTTAACCTCTTACTTGCTATCATTGTTTTGTTGTTCCGTGCTCTTTGCTTTAATCTTACTTTCTCTAGTTGTAGATAATTATCAATAACTCGCTCTGGCACTAGAAATAACCTTACAGAACATAAGGCTATCCACTTAAGAAAAAATGATAAGTTCCCTGGTGTTGCATTGGTCTGCCATATATAAACTATTTATCAATTACTAAACCAGCAAACATAAAACTTTCTTATATTTCATGTTTGCTCTCTACATTAAATGTTGATTTTTATAACAATCTGATCATGCCTGTAAACTGGTGTGAATTCTGTAAATATTATTTTCAGAATATATATTATTATTATTCCTATACAATTAGCAAATGCATTATTCTCCTTGTTTGGTAGATTCAAGCAAAATCTTTATTCCCAGATAGTAGCTGAATAAAATATTACCTCTACCAAAAACAGATACACGTTTCTTGATAAAAGCAAAATTTACCACACATTTTCCGTTAATATTCAGACGTCATTGCTTCAATTATCAAGAAACATCTGTCTAGTTTGACCATCCTACTCGTACCTTGTCACTTGTTTTTCACAGCAATACCAAACCATTCTATGGTATATTAAAATATTAAAAATATGCTGTGATCACGATAAGAATAAGCTTAGTTGAAACAATAGGAGGGATTAAGTTACACCGTTAAAATAATAGACTGTATATCATAAAACGTTATTGAAATACGGTTGATAGATTTAGGTAAGTATTCTTAACAGATAATCAAAATCAACGATTTATTTATTTAAACACATACATATTGGTACAAAAGGGCACCAGATACATATGCGCCACACAAAATCAACGATACTTTATGTGGAAAGAAAAAGCTTATATCACATTTACTTGAAACTCAGTTTCTGTGGAGATATCATTCCAAGTTCGTTAAAGTCAACCATTATCTTTGCCTTCATTTATTTTTGCCGCAGGTATCGATCTGGGGGTTTACAATTTATGCACCTAACCTGGGATTTAAACGAGGATGTGTTTTTGACTCAAGGAAATTTTCCCTAGATTGGTACAGACTGATTCTTGAACGAACAATAGAAAGTGAAGCCAACATAGTCTTTGGAGAGTAGTATGCCTTGTCGGGTCAGTAGCTGGTGGAAACCTTGGAATTACCTAGAAAGTTTCTTGCATGTTGTGTAAACGAGATAACCTTATTTTTATTTTAAACAGCATTGCTATTCCACACAGTTAGCCTTTAAGGACATCCAGAATCCTGGCTATTACAGACGATAGACATTCAATGCTCTTCCCATTAATATATGATATCAACAGCGACCAACTCTCGACTGATTACGTAAGCAGTTTGATATGTCATAAGTTGCCAACAGATGATACTTAGTGACATAACCGTTATATTTTCCACAATATCGATCACTGATATTATTGACACAATTCAATATTAGTTCGTTCAATTACATCTTTGTTCGGTGAACTTTTATAAATAAAAGTATTATCATTATTACCTCAAGTACAAGAACCAGATTCGTGTACTTAGCCTTGAGCCACACTCCAAAGAAATATCTGGTTCTCCAAACCGAAATAGGAGTAGTGTGATTTGAGCATGTAACCTAGTGGCTGAAAACAGAACACTAACTGTTGGGGCATTGCTCAATCGAAGGTGGTAAGAATTTTAATCGCTTAATATTGATAATCGTTCCCCTACTCTGAACTATTCCTACTGTCATCCAGTTTTATCCATATTCTTTTCCAATATAGTTTTAAAATATACAAGAACGAAGTCTGATGTGTAATTGAACATTGTTATAAAACACTTTAAATGGATCAATTTTAAGTATCAAATATATCATAAAATTAAAGGAATTCCGGATTTTCAACACAATTGTCCACAAACTACGTTCTTATTTGCTGTTTTATCATACAGTAAAGTGTTTGAGTATACCTGTAGCTTAGAAGCTTACCTAACTGGTTCTCGTTTTCTGTCTTCGATGGAGCTGAGTAAAGTTTGTGTGTCATTTGATAAGTGATTGACCTTAGTTCTTTTGCTTCATCTCCATCAGGTGAAATAATCAGACGCCCAAAGCGACAACTATGAAATGGTATAGACGTACCAGACAATGCTTTATGATTTTCTTTTTTTAATCCACCAGGACTAACTGGAGCAGTAATGGATGAATATGGAGGCCATTCTAAAATTAATAACAGAGAATTACTTATAGTTCAAGACATAAATTCAAAACAGATCAAAATGTTAACTGTGCTCGACTGCACATCACTTACACTGCAACTTGTAATTTACTAATCTCCTAAGAAAAAACTACGTCAAAGAGCAGACTAGGGAAAACCAGGCTGGTTTTCAACACGGACGTGGTTGTACAGACCAGATATTCACTTTACGTCAGGTCCAAGCACATAGAAACACATTCAGACGTTCCACAATAGTAGTATTTCTTGACCTTAAGGCGGCATTTGACTTCATTGATAGTGAGGTTCTATGACAGTGTTTGTCAGTGGAAGGAGTATCAAAGAAGTACATTAACCTCATAAAGGCTCTCTACTCGAACACTGGTCGAGTTAGAGCCTATGGCGAACTGTCATCAGAATCGACTACCTCAAGTGGTGTTCGTCAGGGCTGTTCACTCTCCTCATTCTTGTTTAACTTTGTCGTTGACGTGCTATTATAAAAAACACTTTCATCATCTCGATCTCCAGGAGTTGAAGTTTCACCGGGAGACTCACTTGTTGACTGAGAATATGCCGATGACATAGTTCTATTTGGTGAAGACGCTGACAAAATGCAGAGTCTTGTGACCACCATAAGCAACAATGCAGGCATGTTCGGGATGCGATTCTCCTCCTCGAAGTGCGAAATGTTACTTCAGGATTGGGTTGCATCGACACCTGAACTAATGATAGGGAGTGAAGTAGTTGAGTGTGTTGACTGCTTCACGTATCTTGGGAGTCTCATCAGCCCTTGTGGTCTGGTGTATGACGAAATCTCAACACGGATACAGAATGCTCGTCTAGCTTTTGCCAACTTGCGTCATTTGTGGCGTAGGCGAGATATCCGTCTAGCAACCAAAGGACGGGTTTACTGTGCAGCAGTTCGTTCGTCCTACTTTATGGCAGCGAGACATGGCCGATAGGAGTAGAGGATATTCGTAGGCTACTAGTGTTCGATCATAGGTGTCTTCGAAGCATTGCTCGTATATCCTGGGACCACCGGGTAAGTAATGCAGTTGTTAGGAAACAGGTACTAAGTAAGGATGGCAAATCGATTGATGAAGTAGTGAAACTTCATCAGTTGAGATGGCTGGGACACGTGTTACGTATGCCCAACCACCGACGTGCAATGTTTCATGGTGCAGGAGTAGGTTGGAAGAAAGCTAGGGGTGGCCAGACCAAAACGTGGCACAAATCCATCAAGTCACTGACAAGTGGACTGAGCCATGTTGGTAGGTGTAGACTACCTGGTTGGGATTCGCGAGATGATAGCAATCGATGGTTAGAGACCTTGAATGACATGGCTCAAAATCGTTTGCAATGGCGAAGGTGCATCCACTCTTTGTGTTCTACCAAATTCTAATCTTCTGAATTCTTCATGACCCTATCCTATTTCTCTTTTCAAATTTATTTCACTGTATTATACTCCTTCAAACCCTAATCTTTCACATAATGCTTATACTCTTACTACTTCTACCACTATTGGATTTGAATCGACAAATGTATCTCTGCTAATGTGGTATGACAACTCGAACTGATGTACGTACGTACGAATTTCTACGTTGTGACTGACGTCAAAGATTGGTCTGATTTAAAAAATTTCGTTTGTAAATCCAGTTGATTGTTTTCCCTGTGATTTATTTCATCCGACAAAACATTGATCAATTCCCTTATTTATCATGATTATTTGACTCGAAAATCCAGAAACAATTTACTTCAGTTTCTAAGAGTTTGTCTTTTCTCTGTCTGACGTTACAGATTATAGGTGATTATTCTTGAATGTAAGTCACCAAAAAACTCAAGATGCACATATGCCAACAGAAACTGATCAACTACAGCCTCCTTAAAAGCAGTTCATTGTTTAACGGCATGTAAAGCACCTTACAAGTAAAATTCATACCCGTTCCATAAGCTAGTGGCCCTTCGAACGCAGCAGTTCAGTGGATAAAGCATTGGCATTCGAAGAGAAAGGTACCGGGGCTTGAATAATGGTGTGAGCATCACTGGGATTCAAGGATATCGAACAGACAAGTCCCTTGATAATCATTAACCGATTTTAATAAAAAGATTATTTCACGTCTACAATTTCAATTACAGGATAATAAATAGGAAAATACTACAAGTATACATGATGCCGAGAAATGAAATGTTTTGCGTAAAATCTGGGTAAAATAACAACTTATCTATAAATTTATACGACTTAACCGCATGACAAATTAAACAAAACTGCTTGAATACAGAAAGAATACATATTCCTGTGAAATTTATTTATTTAAACACATAAATATTGGTACAAGGGGGCAATATATATATAAGAAAATACAACGTGACTAACCTTTCATATCACCAGATGAATGATTTAAACATATATGATGTGAACGTGGATCACACTTTTGAACAGCAATGTCTGAAAAAGATTTTCCAGCTGGCTTACTGGCTGTGCCGATGTGATCAATTTTACTGAGATCATTTTGAATTTCTACACTGGAAAGCTTATTTTTACAAGAAAAATCTCCTGATGCTGATTCCGAATGAACTAGCTTGATTCCAGTACTTACATTATTATATGTTGTAGATGACATATCAGAGGTGAGATCTAATGTTGACTGGGCTGTGTGAATATCCAACATAACAAATTGATATAAATGAGCTCAATTCTAACAATAAATTAATAAATATTAAGGAAATTTATCTGAAACATAATTAGTTATAACACTATGGTGAATAGTATTTTGTAAAGTGAGTTTAAAAGTTGTAGAAAGCTTTTTAGATTGGAATGTATTAAATTCACTATTAATAACATGTTTAAAATCAAATAACCCAGCTGTACAAGCTTTCTTACATATTCAATGTACATAGATTATCAATACACTGCTCGTTAAAGTGTTGGTATTATGAAAGTTCAAAATGTTAAAACATGTGTCACAAACATTCATGAATTTCATATCTAAATTATTTTAAAGACTAAGAATAGATGAGCGAGCAATCGTTTTCAGTAAACTCATCATCAGGTTCTACAGTTATAAGTCCATAATTATTGTGATATTTTACAAAGATGAAAACAAGACATGCGTTAATGTATTTATCAGTATAGGGTTGTGGAGATTGTTGAGTTTAAATTGATATCATGAATAGATAAATGTTAGACCACTATTGAAAACCTGGATGCACCGGATGGCTGTTTTGCTCTAGTATGGGACTCATCAACAGTGCGCATCCACAATCCCGGGACCTTCGGTCTCGTGCGCGAACGCTTACATTCTAGACCACTGAGCCGACATCCAATGGTGCTAATGTCTAACTTCAACCAATCTACGAACTTGCGCCAACGTCCACCATTGTCTTCAATGAGTTATTTACGACTCAGTGGTCTAGAGGTTAGGCGTTCGCGCGCGAGACCGAAGGTCCTGGTTTCGAGTACCGTGGTTGAGACTATGGTCTAACTTCAACAAATAATGAATTTGGCAATAATGTATGTTGAAAATGGTGAACGCTTGCATCTGATGCAACATAAATTAGCAAGGTCACTTAATCTACTATATGTTTAACGAATTTTATACACAAATAAATATGTTAGCTAGTAGGATCACCCCCAGGGCTCAATCTTCACTAATATCTTTCTAGCCAAACTGGAAAATGGACTATCAAACGACATTCTCAATAAGCTAGATCATTACTGCCGATACATAGATGACACATTAATCGTGTGCGATAAAAGCATACAGCTGCTGAACAGTTTTAATAAAGCGTACCCAACTATTACATTCACCAGGGAAGAGGAAAAAGACAATTATATAGCTTTCCTTAATGTCTTGCTTTCTAGAAGGAAGAAAAAAATGTATTTACAAAGAATACTTGGGCGAGTCAGTATACCCATTTTTACAGCTCTACACTTCTTCAATACAAAATAAATTTGGTTAAATATGTCAACCACAGAATCAAACTATCGTGTTCTGAGGATAGTGCAGACAGCGAAATAGATAACCTAAAGAACACATTACGAAACAATAGCTATCCATATAATTTCTAATATAAGGGAAAATAGGACAAATTCTGACACGGTCGGCAAGAAACTTTTCTATTTAAAACTCCATTTCAAAGGAGACATAGTGAGCGGACTTTTAACACGTTGACCCAAGAGACCTGCTGAAGGACATTTCACGCCGCCAGGTTACATGTAATCTCAACCAAACCAGCACTTACACAAATCAAAGATAGGCAATTAATTACGGGCTCCTCCATGTGTGTATACCAATTCAACTGCTCTTGTGGAGCTAGCCACACAGGTCGTAATCAGAGGGCTTTATCCTTACGTGCTCGTTAACATGTACCAGCATGGTTGGGAAAAAGAGTCATGAAATTGATTAACAGAACCATCCTTTTTCATGTGGTAGACAGTGAACATCATTCTAGAACAGATGAGGCTTTCTGTTTAGTATTAAGTTCCAAACAATCTACCTAAAGGAGCTAGATTAAGACTCCTAACATAGCTGAAGCCATCTGGACCAACTCCAGAAAACCTAACTTATGTATCCAGAAGAGGTATATCCAGCCTCTATGCTTACTTTGGACCACGAGTGGACCATCAGGTACCTAAACTGGATATTATAAACCTCATATCCTCCCTCCCAATTCCTTTTGTGTTTATATCATTATATCTTTCACCTTTCCCGATTCTCATAAATTTTTTATCATAATTACCTTGGGAACACTTCTCTTATTACATATTATATTCTCAAAACGTCAATATTATTAACTTCACTAACGAGGAGAAATTCTCCTACAATGCATTTTGTACATACGATTTATTGTAGCACTATTATATTGATTTTAACTTGACACTTAACTAAGAATCACTCTGGCCTTTATTAAATGACCTTTCTAATTTACAAATAACACTATACTGAAGTATTTATTTCGTAACAGATGCAAACATTCACCATTTTTAACATACAACATTGTCAAATTCATTAATGCATGTCTTGTTTTCACCTTTGTAAAATATCAAAATACTTATGGACTTATAACTGTAGAGCCTGATGATGAATTTATTGAAAACGATTGCTCAGTCAAATATTCTTTGTTGTTTGAATACTCTATGGGGATTTTTAGACTATAAAGACAGTGAAATTTAAAATATTCTACTTAAAACTAAGTAACTCAGTGGAGGAATGACATTATCTAGTGACTTTAAACGAAAATAAACTCGACCAAGTTGAAAATGAAAAGCGTTTGAAAGAAAACAAATCACTTGAATATACAGGACATTGATATCTGAGGGAATGGAGTCACTGATTATCAGGGAAGTGTCAAACAACTTTGACAGTTTTAAACATTTCTGCATAACCTCTAAAAACTAATTTCCGCACACAGTATCAACATCGAGAGATAGATCACTGATGAGATACTACTTAATGGTGCTTAGAATCAGAGAAAGTCATTGAACTCAAGCTGGAGAGAAAATATTAGATTTGGAAGAGATGCTGCTGTACTCTGTTCACGAAGAATATGTTTGGCATACACAAAAAGTTCCACTGATGCAATCCAAAGAAGCATGTAAAACACTTATAGAATGGGAATTTCGTGGATCCAGAATCATTAAAGCATCCATAAAAATAAAGGAGAGAATCACAATAAATGTTATCCAGTGTTATGCACCCATCAATGATAGCAATAAATACGATAAAGACCAGTTTTACAAGAGGCTGTAATCGATCATAGCGAGATGCTCAGGAAAGGACCTAATCATCTTGATGGGAGACCTAAACACCAAAGTTGGAACGCACAAAACCGGGTATGAATATATCATGGGACGACATAAACTGACTGAGATAAAAGAAACAAGAATGGTGACAAATTTGCAAGCTTAAGTGCATTCAACAAAATGGTTATAGGTTGCACCATATTGACCTACAAACGCATACATAAACCCATATGAATCTCATCGAATAACACTACAGAGAACCAGGTCGATCATACTTGCAACAATAAAGTGTTCAAAAGATCCATGGAAGACGAGAGGGTAGCTGACAAATGAAGGTCAAGACAACCAGTGTGGCAGAAGCCTCTGTAGCAGTAGACCCCAAAATATACAGGGGAAAAAGAAAGATCTCAAAATACAACACAGAGAACATCAAGCCAATCACATTTGACGGGAAAGCCCTGGAAGAGGTGGAAACTTTCACATATCTAGGGAGCATCATCGATTAACAAGGATCTGATACCAGCGTAAATGTAGGGATTGGCAAAGCAAAGATAGCATTCTTGCGGTTGAAGAACATATGGAACTCAAAACAACTGTCAACCAATATCAAAGTCAGAATCTTCAATACGAACGTTAAAATATTTCTACTGTACGGAGTTAAAATTTGGAGAACTACCACAACCATCATCAAAAAGGTACAAATATTTATTGTTGTTGTCCGCTCAAGATACTCAATCTCCGTTGGCCGGATACTATCAGCAACAGTCTACTGTGGGAGAGAACAAATCAGCTTCCAGATGAAGAGGAAATTAGGAAAATATGCTAGAAGTGGATAGGACATACATTGCGGGAATCATAAAACTGTATCACGAGGAAAGCGTTAACTTGGAATCCTGAAAGGAAAAGGGCAGACCAAGGAATACTTTGTGCTTGGACCTGAAGTCAGATATCAAAAGAATAAATACCAACTGAAAGGACTGCCCATAACAGAGTTCGAAGCAGAATCCCGGTGGGCGGCCTATGCTTCTTCACGAGTGTTAACAGGCGTTAGTCATTTTCGATAATTGATGTGTGAGGATATAAATACTGATAGGCTGAGTAAATTGGAATATGACTGGCATATACTAGGCCGGAATCTCTATGAAAACAGTAGATTTTAAAAATAAACGCACTTACAAACTTAAAGGCTGATATTCCAGACCTTTACGGAGTTTGGAGTCTTCTAGGACTGAGCTAATAAGCATGTAAGGGTTCTTAAATCTTCTGGGGTCAATCATAACAGTGAAAATGCATTTATATTTTGATCTTCTGTAAAAACTAAGATTGTTTGATCATCTACTTTGCATTTGTTCGTACTGATGTTATGTCATTGATAACGTGAGCAATCACAGAGGGTGTTGAGTTTTCCCAAGCTCTAAATCTGCTGTCGGTTTTCCCGGTGCAGAACAAAATGAACATGTTACTTGGACAGTTGTCGTGATAATTCGATATTTATATGCTGGTTAAGTTTAATTCTAAATTTTCATTTTAACCTTCATGGTAATTGCAAATAGTTACCTAAAACAAATCTTAAGTTAGCTGTGGTTAAAGCGCCAATAGACTACTAATATACATTCTGTAATTAGACCTACTAAAAGAGTCTCAGAAATGAAGTACCTGTACTGCAGGATAGATATTCCAAGACTTCGAACTTATGCGATTATATTTAATTTTACCGGTAAACTGAATTACTTTATCTATGTTCTTACAAAATTACGAAGCTAGTACGTTCACAGAAAATGTAGAACACATGAAATGAAATTTAAAAATATATATTGTTTACTTCTTCCATTTTTTGGTTTGGTTAGTGTTAAGCGTTCTAAAACTTCCGCTTTCTCATAGTTCGCTCGTAAAAGACGCAACCTCGTATCGTGAAGTAGCTCTTCTGTCTTAATTAATTGTTGCCTTGTTTCAGCCAGCTGCGCACGCGTAGACAACCATCCACTTTCCATTTCGTTAAGTTGACTTCGCAGGGTTTCTAAATGATGCTCCAGATCTAGTTGGATATGACTGGATGACTTAGCTAAGTTTTCAAGCTCATTGATTTTCTCAGAACTTCGTTTATTTTCAGATTCTAATTCTATTATTTGAGACACCAACCTACAAACCTCTTTTTCCTTCAGCTTATAAGAAGTTTCAGTCAGTGACAGCTTGTCCTCTAACTGGTTGTTTGTTGATTGCAGAGATAAAACTACGTCATTTTTGACTTTTAAGCTTTCTTCAACTTCTAATAAGTGTTCCCTTGTTTTAGAGAGATTGCAGCGTAGATCGGCTACTTCACTTTTAAATCTATCAGACAGGGCTGAAACCTGAGAAACCTTTTCTTTTTCGTCGATTAGCTCAGTTTTAATATTATTTAGTAAGATTTTCAATTTGGCAGTTTCTTGTACAGCATGCTTCATGTTTGATATAATTTGGTCTTTCTCACGACAATGTTCCTCCGACATATTGTTGATAATTGATTTATAATTGGAAGCACAATTTGCCAAACTATCTTTCAGGCGGTTTACCTGAAATACAATACAATACTAAATTTCCACTAAAACAAAATAACAATTATATGAGCGTGTTAATAGTCAGCAAAAAATGTTCAAACAAAGCTTACAAAGATGTGATTGTTGATTACTCTCTTGTGGTTAGAAACAGTTTTTTGTCATCGGTAGTGTAACTGCTATTTTATACTTGGGAGAATATGCAATACACTTTAGGAGTGCAAACCACTTTTAGTGGTGTTACTATAGTTTCCACACAAAAATATAATATGTGATAAATGCTACGATATCTAGCTTTGTATAGATGTAATTTTAATGACCTATATTAGGAAAAATTAGTGGTCGAATAGATGTTACTTAACTCAGCCAAAAGTCATCTAAGTATCAAGCAATAAGATGTAAACGAGACAATACATCTATTTGCTTTGCCACCTAGAGTTCCATTTTCTTTTTTAAATGATTATGATAATTTATTCAAATTCAAATTAAATAGATATTTGTTGAATATATACAACTGCAAGTTGTTTTGTGAGTGAAAACGATTTCAACAAAAGTCAATCACAATAAACATTCATACCACTGAAATTATAGATAAGTAAAACCCTGCTAATTGTGCTTAGATGTGTTTTATTTGCTTCATATAATGACTGAATGTTGAGCTATATACTTTGCCGCTTCTCACAAATCCTTGTTTTTGTTTCTAGAAATCGCGACTAGACTGTTCAAGTATTCTATATATAAGTCACTACTAACTTTATAGGTTATCGAGGAGTTTTTTAAAGTACAATAAGAACATCCAAGTTAGCTGTTTTTCAAATTTAAAACCAAGTGAGGGAACTAAAATTTGATCACAACAAATCGTATGTTTATAGCCCATTTACAAATTTACACCATTTGCATACGAATTTTAGTATGATTATTGCCCGTAGTAGTGGCTATTAACATCATACAATGATGGTCCAGCTTAGCTTACTTCTGAATGGTGAATGGCTAAAGTAGAGAATAAATTGTAACTTGCTGTATCTAATAGATAACTCGCCTTACATTCCGCACATGTAATGTTTTAAGCATGACATGGTCAGCAACAATATGGAGCGATGTATTAGCTGTTTGGAACTTTTCCGCTTTCAAGCAGTAGATTTCAACTGCAAATCTCGCTCCATATTATTGAGTTTACATAGCCAAGTATTAAATAATATGGTGGCAAATACTCGAACTGACTAAATAAATACGATCGTAACTGCATGAAAACACTAGAGAATTTCCTGTTCAAAATACCTGAACAGTTATTCACATTCCTTTTAGTGGCGATTCCAAAATAGCTAAATACTAAAAACAATGTTAAGTGAGAAATACGTTTCTAAGTCAAAAATTCTTACCTCTTCTTCAGCAGACGCTCTAAACGCTTTGTTGGCATCAATTTGATCATTAAGCTCAGCACGTAAATCCTTATTTAAAATTATTAACTTATCATATTTGTCTTCAACCTCAACGACTTTTGACTTTAATTTAGATACTTCCACATCAGCCTCTTTCATTTTCTTTAGTTCTTCATCAATCTTTACATGACCGCCTCCAAAACAAGAATGAATAGATGCAATCTAAAAGTAATCAGCATGAAAATGACGACTGATTATTCATTATAGAAAAGCTTCTCATTCAAACTGTAATTATAGCTTATCTGATGGCATGAAAATAATATTTTATTTATGAAAATGGTGTATCAACACTATGTTTACTTTAGAACACAGATAAGACCGGGCCCTAGGCTGTCAAATTCAGAAAATTGCAAATGGTTAATGTTTGCGAAAACATATCCACAAATAGCTCAGTAACTGTTTTCATAGTCAAATTAGGCGTTCACCCTTTTTGAATTTGAGAGATTCAAGATGATTCCTGCACAAAATTTTTAACCTCACACGTACATTAGCATGTTCCTAAAGGTCTTGGTACGGCCGAGAGTAGGGAGAGTCCACTATCCCTCTCGAAATGCTCTCACATAGCCAAGCGTATATAGTCTCTGTCAGAGAAGTCCTACTCACCGTCTTCTCGTGGCTTTACTTTGTTTACGAAATTGAGAGAACGAAAAGCAAATGTCCGGCGCTTTAACCGGGTTGGTGGACACGACGAGTGCACCTAGGGGAGTTGGAAAACCCTGATTCTAAATCAATCGTGCACATGGGTTCCAGTATCCTGAGAGAACAAATAGCGTATGAACCAATCGATGGTCACCGGCTATCATGGGACTGCATCTCCTTACGATGATCCACTGGCTTGTGGATCAGACCCTTAGGTCAAAGGCTCCGGGTGTGGCCCCCTAAGAAAACCACCCGCTTCGGTTTGGGCACCTGTGCAGTATCACAGTCGTCACACAAATCAAATGAGATTTGTGCAGCGCATATATATTCTTGTACCAATATTTATGTGTATAAATAAAGATAAATAAGTTGATGCAAGTTAGTAACCAAATATAGGTCTATGCAATTGGTTTTGAATAAAATATTTTGTGGAGTCGAGTAGTATCACAGAAGTTAGAGTGATTCGATTTGGAAACTTAAATGAGACTACCAGAAGTTAGGGTAGAACCAAATTTTACTGACTAGAAAAGGACTTACCATATTTATAAAAATAATGTACAGTTAGCTTTATTACTACACTAACCTTGGCATTCAATTCATAATTTTCGGTCTTAAGTAAGTTCACTTTGTTTTCCCATTCATGAAAGCCAATCTCAGATTCTAATCGGATTTTATCCATTTCAATAGAAAGCTGTTTTTTCTGAGCACATAATTCAGTGATCACTTTTATCTGCTTAACTTTTATCTCTGTAATTTCTTTATTGGTTTGAGTCAACTTTGCTTCTGAAATCAGAATCTGTAAAATAAAATATTGTGAAATAAAAATTAATAAGAAGAAGAAAATGCCCCACATACACAAGGAGTTGCATTGATGCTGTCCAGAAAAGCGCAAAATGCACTTATTGGATGGGAACCTCATGGACCAAGGATAATCAAAGCCTCCTTCAAAACAAAGAGAGAGGGCATTACAATGAACGTCATCCAATGCTATGAGCCTACCAATGACTACGATGAAGACGCTAAAGACCAATTCTACGATAGGCTGCAGTCGATCGTCGAGAAGTGCCCAACCAAGGACCTGATAATTCTGATGGGAGATCTCAATGCTAAGGTTGGAATGGACAACACTGGATACGAAGACGTCATGGGACAACATGGACTAGGAGAAAGGAACGAAAATGGTGAGAGATTTGCAAACCTATGTGCCTTCAATAAACTGGTCATAGGTGGCACCATATTCCCACACAAAAACATGCACAAAGCCACTTGGATTTCACCGGATCACATTACACAGAATCAAATCGACCATATCTGCATCAACAAAACGTTCAAGAGGACGATGGAGGATGTGAGAACCAGAAGAGGAGCTGATATAGCATCCGATCATCATTTGCTGGTCGCCAAGATGAAACTAAAACTCAAGAAGCACTGGACAACGGTGCGGACAACATCACAAAAGTTTAATACGGCCTTTCTTCGAGATGCTGACAAACTCAACGAATTTAACATAGGCCTCAGCAACAGGTTCGAGGCCTTTCATGATCTACTCAATGGAGAGGGGACTACCATGGAGAACAACTGGAAAGGTATCAAGGAGGCAATCGTTTCAACATGTCAAGAGGTTCTGGGCCAAAAGAAGCACCACCACAAGGAATGGATCACTGTTGGTACACTGGATAAGATTGAAGCAAGGAGGAACAAGAAGGTAGCAATCAATATCAGCCGAACCAGAGCGGAAAAAGCCAAGGCACAAGCCGAATACACAGAGGCAAACAAGCAAGTGAAGAGGAGCATCAGAACCGACAAACGTAAATATGTGGAAGATTTAGCGATGACAGCGGAAAAGGCTGCAAGAGAGGGAAACATTAGACAACTGTATGATACAACAAAGAAACTTGCTGGAAATTACCGTAAGCCAGAAAGACCAGTGAAAAACATGGAAGGCAAAGTAATCACCGACATTGAAGAACAACGAAACAGGTGGGTAGAACACTTCAAAGAACTCTTGAATCGACCAGCTCCACTGAACCCACCCAACATCGAAGCAGCACCCACGGACCTCCCAATCGATATTGGCCCACCAACAATTGAAGAGATCAGCATGGCCATTAGACAAGTCAAGAGTGGCAAAGCAGCGGGACCAGACAACATCCCGGCAGAGGCACTGAAAGCAAATGTAACAGCAACTGCCAAGATACTCCACATCCTCTTCAATAAGATTTGAGATGAAGAACAAGTACCAACAGACTGGAAAAAAGGACTTCTGATCAAAATACCAAAGAAAGGTGATCTTAGCAAGTGCAACAACTACAGGGGCATCACTCTTCTCTCAATACCAGGAAAAGTCTTCAACCGAGTATTGTTAAACAGGATGAAGGATTCCGTGGACACCCAACTTCGAGATCAACAAGCTGGATTTCGTAAGGATAGATCGTGCACAGATCAAATCGCAACTCTGCGGATCATTGTGGAACAATCAATCGAATGGAATTCATCACTCTACGTCAACTTCATCGACTACGAGAAGGCATTTGATAGCGTGGACAGGACGACACTATGGAAGCTTCTTCGACACTACGGCGTGCCTGAGAAGATAGTCAATATCATACGGAACTCCTATGATGGACTAAACTGCCAAATCGTCCACGGAGGACAACTCACCGAGTCGTTTAAAGTAAAGACTGGTGTTAGGCAAGGTTGCTTACTCTCACCCTTTCTCTTTCTCCTGGTCATCGACTGGATCATGAAGACGTCAACATCTGGAGGAAATCACGGGATACAGTGGACAGGCAGGATACAGCTGGATGATTTAGACTTCGCGGATGATCTAGCTCTTCTATCACAAACGCAACAACAAATGCAGGAGCAGACGACCAATGTAGCAGCAGCATCAGCAGCAGTAGATCTCAATATAAACAAAGAGAAAAGCAAGACTATCCGATACAACACAATATGCACCAATCAAATTACACTTGACGGAGAAGCTTTGAAGGATGTGGAAATCTTTACATATCTGGGCAGCATCATTGATGAACACGGTGGATCTGATGCAGATGTGAGGGCGCGGATCGGCAAAGTAAGAGCAGCATATTTACAACTGAAGAACATATGGAACTCAAAACTATTGTCAACCAACACCAAGGTTAGAATTTTCAATACAAATGTCAAGACAGTCCTACTGTATGGGGCGGAGACGTGGAGAACTACGAAAGCCATTATCCAGAAGATACAAGTGTTTATTAACAGCCGTCTACGCAAGATACTTCGGATCAGATGGCCAAACACTATCAGCAACAAGTTACTCTGGGAGAGAACAAACCAGATTCCAGCAGAGGAAGAAATCAGGAAGAAGTGCTGGAAGTGGATTGGGCACACCTTGAGGAAATCACCTGATTGCGTCACAAGACAAGCCCTCACATGGAATCCTGAAGGTCAAAGGAGAAGAGGGAGACCAAAGAACACATTACGCCGAGAAATAGAGATAGACATGAGAATAATGAACAAGAACTGGGTAGAACTAGAAAAGGAAGCCCAGGACAGAGTGGGTTGGAGAAAGCTGGTCGGCGGCCTATGCTCTATTGGGAGTAACAGGCGTAAGTAAAATAAGTAAGTAAGAAAAATATGGAGACAGACTTTATGAATCATAATTAAGCAGTAGATTCTTACACAGGATATGTGAAAATGTCAGTTGTTATACCAATAGTAACAAACAACAATTAGTGTTTTATTTTAACAGTTTATAAGACTGATATTTTTTAACTTATGAAGAAAAACTGAGGAATTATATTGAATTGTGATTAATCAACTTTCGAACGAAAGTTAAACAGACAAAAACTATAATACATAAACTCTATTCATAAGTAATAATGGGTTTGTAAATATTTAGGAATACCCAAAATAGATAAAATCTTCGATGGATAAACTTATTTAATAATGGGAGAACTAATTTCCTAAACAGCCATACAGTAGATCTGACGCAGTCTTGCACGATCCAACATTTTAAAGACGAGTCGGAAAGCTTTATTTAGATGCGGAACAGCGCCAATGGCTTAGATACTAAAATAATCGTCAAGTGATTTGATGATAACAAATAGACATCAGTAAAATATCTTGAATAAGACTTGAATAAGGAATAACCTTTACAATTAACAGCTGGTTGAAAACTAATTTATTTTAACAAGAAATGCTATTTACTTCTCATAGATCTGTTAATAAACACTTGTATCTTCTGGATGATGGCTTTCGTAGTTCTCCACGTCTCCGCCCCATACAGTAGGACTGTCTTGACATTTGTATTGAAAATTCTAACCTTGGTGTTGGTTGACAATAGTTTTGAGTTCCAAATGTTCTTCAGTTGTAAGTATGCTGCTCTTACTTTGCCGATCCTCGCCCTCACATCTGCATCAGATCCACCGTGTTCATCAATGATGCTGCCCAGATATGTAAACGTTTTTACATCCTCCAAAGCTTCTCCGTCAAGTGTAATTCGATTGGTGCATATTGTGTTGTATCGGATAGTCTTGCTTTTCTCTTTGTTTATATTGAGATCTACTGCTGCTGATGCTGCTGCTACATTGGTCGTCTGCTCCTGCATTTGTTGTTGCGTGTGTGATAGAAGAGCCTAATCATCTGCGAAGTCTAAATCGTCCAGCTGAGCTATGCTGGCTGGAACAATCGTTCCTCATGGTTCTACCATGCCAGACAGGTCGGTTGAAGAGCGGTAAGACTAAAAGCAGCAAACCCAAGGTCCGAAGGCGAAGTCGTACTGCTGACTGTACAGAGGTGTGACAGCAGTAAGGTATTTCCTTCAAACAACTAGCATCACAATAGTGCTGCCTTCCCACAAGGAGGGGTGGGGTTAGAAAAGGTCGACCCTAAAAATGCACATCTCGTCTTATAACACGGATTTCCGTCTCCGGCGGTAAGGAACTTTGAAGAACGGAGCTAACACGTCAAAAAATCCCGCACAAAAAGGCCGTGCGTGACCAGCCTCAAGCAGTTGTCCCTTGGGCACTGCGGTCACGCTTTCAGGTCATCAAGACCACTTCTAACCCAATTTCCATTTCAGGTACTTCTAGAAGAACCCTTCCACGATGTGGGCAACCGGGAAGTGATAACCGTCCTCATACCTCTAACAGCACTCAAGACCACTGTATTCATAATCAATCTCCTTCTTCAATTCCTACTATTCCTTCTACCTCAGCTTTCAACACTAAGCTTCCTCTTTCGGTTTTCTCCTCAAGTGTCACCATGGCTAACGATTCTAGTGCGCGAAACACTGTCCCAGTTCTACTGAAACCTCGCTCTTCCCTTAAACCTCAAGATTAAAATTGCTTCATACCGTTCTTCCTTCCTATACTATCTTTATATACAACCTGTCTTTTATACATTACCACCACTAAATTAACTACTTCTATGAATCCGGTGTTCATCTTGTTGTGCTAATGAGGTATGGCAACTTGGACCGATGCATATGTGTGCCTGATCCTACGTTGCAGCTGACTGACTGACTGACTGAGTTTGATAAGTTGTTCAATAAATCTGCTTTAATGTCCTATCAATTGGAAATCGGAGATCGTCTGCCTAGTTACATGTCTAGCTCTCATTGAACACCAAAGGACGTTTAGTGTCACATTACAACAATGTGTCGTTTTTAGTTATATCAGTGCCATAACTAACGATGTTTTTGGAAAACATTTCAATTTGTTCACAAAATAAACAAAGAAAACAGCTTGAGATGTAAATTTTGAAACAAATATGGCACTCGTTTGCAGCAACATGTCTTTATTGGATGACATTAAAGGTTGAGAAAAATAACACATAAATGGAAAAGTTATGCGGTCATCTAAATGCTTAGAAATGATACATGATTCACTGATCATAAAAAGCCTTAGAAATTCCGTGATCAATGAAGTAATTAACTCATCAGACAAAAAATACATTAGGAAATTCAGTGATCGATATGATAATAAAATCTTACTTTTTCACATAGTTTTTCGAATCTAGTATGCATGACTGATTTGAGATTATCAAGTTCTTTTGTCAAAACCTGGGTATATTCGAAGAAAACATTTAAACGTTGTTGAACAAATTTACCAATTACAACATGAGTTACAACTTAGAGTCATCAAGAATAACTAAAATGAGTTAACAACTATTATCCATTAAAATGTAAAGAAAAAAAGAATAAGCTTTTTGAGGTTTAAACAATCATAAACGTTCTACGGTATTTTTACAAGAAGCAGTTTCTGACCCACAGAACTAGTCTTCACATATTGAGTGAACAATAAAAAAAGAAATAAAATAATCCTATTCTTATGACTATCTGAACTTTTGTTTAAGTTTGAACAAATAGTTTCTTAATAGTTGGTTGATGGGTTAATGGAAGACATTATTAAAAAGGAAATAATATCTGTAAACAACTCAGCGATTAAAATTAGAATAACTCCAACATTTCACTTAACAGTCTAATACGAGCTTTTTCTTGAAAATTGTCAAAGATAAATATATAGTTTACAAACTAGCAGCGTACGATTTGTTTAGTACATCGTTAATTTTTGAACTATAATGCTTATATCCTATAAGTTTGATGCTTGGTTGTTTCCCCTTGAAGATCGGATCACATTGTGGGGTGAAATGTTGTTGAAATTTCGATAGCAGAGATATTTACAAATATAATTTCCCTTTTACTATTTAAGCCAACAATGTTACACAAGGGGACTGTCTAAAATAGAAGAACTTAGATATTATGACTCCAATGATTTTGACATTAGATACGATAGGAAATTTTACTTTATTAGGTATTGTAATTTCCCAAATCAACTGTGTCTTAGCTTAAGTGGCCCAGAACAAATAAGATATCGGAAATCGTAACAGTAAATTAGAAAAGAAATTAATTAAACCCTAAGTTAACTTTACCTCACATGAATATTGAAAGGTGTTAATCATACTGCCTCGGTGTTTTGCAAGGACTTTTCCGAACAATGAATTGAAGCGTTGTACAATGTATTTCTTTCTCATAATTTGGTAGTCTGTTCGTGCCTTAACAACAGCTGACTCAAGATCTTGAAGCTGATTATTTATCATCACCACAGAAGCTAAACTCTCAGCAGAACCTGCATTTGAAACATCTAAAAAAGAATTAAAGCAAGCTAGTCAACATAATGCCTATGAAATAGATAGTACGATAGAGGGAATCTATGCATCGAAATCGGAAACGAAGTTTAACCAATACACAAATACCAACTTCTTGAACAGATTAATGATTATTAACTTCGTACATGAACGGTATAAGTGGGTTTACGATTCTAAATTTATTTCCGTTACCATAGAGGTGTCAGTCTGATGAATACAAATTTATATTATCATTTCATCGATATATATATATATATATATATATATATATATATATATATTAGTTATCGAAAACAACGGCTCTCAAACAATGAAATGAGATGAAGGGTAGTAGTGTTATGTAGGAATATTATGTGGATGTTATTTTGACGTTAATTTACATACGTAGAATTAACCAATGATTTATCTCTCGAAATGACAGTGTAGGAACTTGAAGGAGTTAACACAATAAAAAAAACTCACTAGTCCTGGAACCCTATCCATAACTATCTTGTAACATCTTTATATATTAAGATATTAAATCCATCGTTATATTGCAGTGTCTTGCATCACAGCAAAGTTTAGAAACCTAAGAATTTATTTTAAACTAAATGGATATCATGGTAAGCAAAGATGGATAGTGGCTAGCAGTGGAATCCAGGACGCGCGTTTCGCCCTATTTGGGACACTCAGAGTTGATGTTCACTCTGGGACTCAAACCCAGTACCTTCCGCTTCAAACGCCATCGCGTTATCCACTGGGCCATTGAGTCCTGATAGCCACTTGCTTGTGCAATGGGGTGAAGATTAAATTTACTTAGTATTGTTTGTTCGGATCTTCCCATTGATGTTTTTAGGACTGCAACTGGTCAGTCTCTAATTGGCATAAGTGCATACTATATCGAGGCGATAAGCACAGTATGCACATATGCCAATTAGAGACTGACCAGTTTCAGTCCTAAAAACATCAATTGGAAGATCCAAACAAACAAAACTAAGTAAATTTAAATGGATATCAGCTTTAAAAATACTCTAAAAGGTAACCATGATGAGATAATTCACCTGCACTAGAAAATTGCAATTCTTTACCAAAGCTTGAATGAAATGTATGTGCAGGTTGAGGACAATTCTCACAAGAATAACACCTGTTATCACACAGAGAAGTTATTGTTTCCGAAGTAGGACCCTGGTTACGAATCAAAGAGTTCGCCTGTGCTACGCATTCCGCTTCGGATCTAGCTAGAAGTCGTTCGCGATGGCACAATAGTTCATGTATCTAAAAAATAATTTCGACAGATTATTGTACGAAACATAAAAGAAATTTAGAAACACCAGCGAAGAATTTATATGAGTAAAACTCAAAGGAGAGTATAATACGGAAGATTATTTTTGTTAAATCATGTTAATTGAATGAATAGTACCTATCTAACATAACTTAATGGATTAACTTTGCAGAAAATCGATTCGCACCATTTTGGCCAATCATATGTTTACCACGTGGAACATCATAGGAGTTCAGAAGAACCATCACTTTTCCCCGTCTTTGCTTCGTAAGACTATCTTGGTTGTGTACCACTAACTTAAAGAATACTTCGGTGAATTGTTATTTGAACAAACAAACGAAAACGTTTGCAGAAATTTGTTAAAGAGGAATACGATAGCGAAACTAAAAGCGCTGTATATTATCGTATAAAATCGACTAAAAAGCACTTATAAATGCAATTTATTGGTTCGATAGTGTGTTGAGATAACAGTAACGGAAATAAAACAAGAGGATAAATGAAACTACATCATTTTTGTTACCGCTTACGATTGGATTCAGATTCATTAATCACTCAGAACTTAAAAGTTCCTTTGAGCAATATCTAAAGAAACAATTAGTGCACAGCAGTGTCCAAAGTCAGTTTTTGATGCTATTTTGTAACCCATAATTTCCGATAGTGATAAATGAATATCGTCTTGATAGATTTCATGACCTTTCACTGTTAGAGTGTTATCTCAGCTAGCAGTTTAAAATATACTAGGTGAGACAGTAATAATATGTCGATAATCAAAATAAGAGAAAATCTGGGTAGGGGTATCTGTTGAGCTACCCACTTTACGATCAACTGGTAAAAAGACTAAGAGAAATGAAAGATGTGAGACACCACTAAGCACAAGATTTCGAAGAAAAAGAAGAATGAATGTACCCGGATGAATTCGACCAATTTTGAACCACACTACCTACAGCATTTTCATAAGATCACAACAGGAAGTTCTGAACCTCTTAGAATGGTCTGATTAAACAACCATTGTCACCATGTACTGATATCACATATTGGACTAACCTCCATCAGTATTTTTAAAACCTACTTGTAAATAAGCTTGCGTACCATGACAAGATTTGAAGTAAATATTAGTAGTAATTGACTTAAATAATTTTTGATGACTAGTCAACGTTAATGAAATCAACGATAATCTCAGGATTACTAAACACTCGGATTCACAACTCTAATGAATACTATAAATCTCCAGAACATATTTACAACTAAGATAAAACGCAAACAAGCAAAAAAATAGGAAAAAGATTACTTTTCACAAGATATAGAAAACTATACCTCACTATCTGCAAGCCGAGCAACAACTTTCATTTGAGTAAGTTGGTGTTCAAGTTCTTGTTGAGATGACAAACGCGAACGAATACTTTCCAATTCTTTTTCCTAGAAAAATAGAAACTGAACACAGGTTTCACAAATTATAGTTATGATTGTAAAAAAAATACTTCTTACTGTGTAGGATACCGAACAATTTCTTACCCACAGAAAAAGTTATATATACACTTATACGGATAGTTTTTAAAATCAATAAACTTGAAAGAGCCAAGTTCCTTTTAAAGGGATACATGAAGCAAAAAAGGTAAGGCAAGCTTCGTCATATGTGATTTCACAAAAAATAACAGAAGGGAATATTCATATCTATCTTTTTACTCGTAGATACATCATTTGCATAGTACTCAATTCGAAAACTAATAAGAACACTAACTTATTGGGAATGTAATTTGAAGTATTACTTTACATATGCGACGCACAAAGTGAAAGACTGTCATGGGCCCTTACTATTCCCTGTAAGACTCGCCTTTAGTTTTTTCTGGATAATGTAGTCTTGTTCTATGTCTATGGAATTTAGTCTGCTCATCCAGGTAGAAATCTACCTGAAGTTTGTGCTGATGATGTCGTTCAGAAGGACTATGAAATCTCCACAACCAAACCATCCAGCCCAGAGAACAAAACTTCATCGAAACCAGTCTCGAATATCCTGCAACGTTTAAAGATCTAACTACATTCCAGATGCCAGTTACTACTGAGGATGACTTTATAGAACTTTCATTAGTAAAGTGTTAAACGTCATCATGAAAAGATGATTTCTGCAAATGATCATAAACAAACAGTTCAATTCAGAATAAATGAAGTACCATATTTTACTAAATTATCAGACAGTAACTATTACTTGCCTAAAATATTTCTACACGCTGAAATCTTTTTTGGTTTGTTTCTAATCAAATATTTGTTAAATTTCAACAGTTTGATTATTTACATCATATCCTACCATATATTAGAGCAGTCAACAGTAAAACTGAACTCTTTAGTATTATCGTAGTAACGTTCTCCTTGACAGAAATTGAAGTCGTCGGAATGATGAACCACCACATCCTACCACCGCGAACCAACATTAATTCAACGTAACTACCCTACAAAGATTGGAGTGATTACACTACAGCCTCTGAATACCAGGAAGACACCTACTTTACATATATGTACTCCTAGATAGGTAGAAAAGTTTATAGAAATCAAACTGAAACACGGCATACAAATGTCAGTATGAAGCTCAGATCGCTAAATGAGTTTGTAGTTTAACAATTCGGTTAGGTAATATTGCCCGAAACTATTACTAAACTTGTCACTTGATTGGGTTTATGCTTTCGGAAACAACAAGATATTTTTAATTGCGTTTATCACTTCACAGTAACAGGTTTATTCATTTACTTGTTAATGAAACGTGATATTGACAACAATATAAAACCCAAACCGCCTGAAGCTCAAATAACCTCGGTTGAAAAGAAAACACTTCACATGAACATCCATTTTAAGGGTAATGAAGCTACAGACACCCTAGAAAGAATTTCTGATTCTCTAAAAGAAAGTTCTTCGCAGCAACTTTGCAAATAGTATTCTCTAGCCAATCAATGTTTATCAATAATCTTAAGGGTAAATTATCCCATCTGATCAACTCTATGTGCATTTGCCAATTTACCTGCTCATGTAGAGCCGGGTATGTAGTTCGTTCGACGCGTATTTTATTCAAAAGAAATCAAGGACATTACCCTGCATGGCTAAAAGGAGGCGGAAACAGCTCAATAAGAAGCTGAATAATCGAACACACTGTAAACATAGGTCACTTAATCAAAGCGGAGTCTGAGTTTAAAGTTATCTACAAGGTAAGTAGAAGGCTGCCATAAGCAATTATATTGCATTTTTCTAGCATTGCAAAAGCAATAACTTTACATCTGGAAAAACAGAATTATGTCTCAAAAAGAAATTGGTACAACCATTTTTCCTACCGTCTTAATGTCTCATAATTTTCATCCTTATTTATACTTTTTTTCCTTTACAACCATCTGCTTCCCCTTCCATCTTCTCCATGAATCTTCTACCCCCAACTGGTTTATTTATTTTTCTATGATCCTCCTGATTACATTTCTTCGCGATTTCAAAATTTGATGATATCATGTTGAGTCATCCTTCCCCAATTATAATCTCCTCAACTATCTTCATGATGAATATTCAAGCACTAAACATTGAAATTATTGTTAGTTTAATAGTTGAATTCATGAGTCGATTTAAGCTAGACCATCATGGCAAACCTGGAAGCACTGGACGTCCGTTTCGTCCTAGTGTGGGACTTCTCAGCAGTGCGCATTCCCGATCCCGCCCAACGAAATTCGAACACAAAACCTATCAGTCGCGCGTGAAAGCTGGATCACTTAGCCAGCTTCCAATGGTGTTAATGTCTAACTTCAACCAATCCACGATATTGTGCAACTGTCCACCATTGTCTACAGTGAGTAACTGCCTCACAATAGACACGGTTGAACTCTACTGGTCACGTCTTCTCACTAGAGGAGTCTCTACTAGGATGAAACGGCTATCCAGTGCTTCCAGGTTTACCATGGTGGTCTAGCTTAAGTCGACTCATGAATTCAACTATTAAAGTACTACAATTTCTGCAAACCCTCATTCTGATAATATTATTCGCTTCCTTGATAAAAAGTAATGTTTTGATACCTTTGTTTATTCTACTTCACCGTCACCATGTTTAACAGAATTTTATTGGCACTATTATTGCAATTATTGTAATTATCATCATCCAAAAAAAAAATAAGTGTATATATTTGCGATCCCACAGCCTTGAAAATGAATTCTGTGAAAACAGAACTCTCTTCGCTGAACCAATCTTTTATACCTTTAGTATCACCAAAACTTTATAAATGACATACTTTAGTTTTCAAGTTACGGTTTTCTTTGAGAAGCTCCTGGTTTTCCTTGTCCAATCGATTAACTACCTTTAATTTTTCCAAAGCATCATTCAGACTTTCCTGTAGACTGTATTATCAAATAAATCAAAAGTCCATTGTTACTGAAACAGATGCTATACATTAAATTTATGATATTTGCTTTACTGACCATAAAGCTAAGAACCTACGCGGTAATTCTAGCACAGAAGAAAAACAATTACAGAAAATCAAACAACCTAGAGTACACTATGCAGTTCACATTTCTCTTCGACTTTTTGAAGAAATACAGCTTAATTGTATACAGTATTTTCAACCAGTGTCGTGGGTTTTAGCTAACCTTATCTACTTCAGTGCGATAGATTGAAAATATATGTAGCGTTTACAATTTAGGCTTCTTTTGAAACCTGATAAAAAAACTTTGACTTAGTAACCGAATTGTATAATACGACAGATTTTCCCACCTCGTCTAAAAGAAACCAATATTTTACAGATTTAATTATTTCATATCTATAATTCGTTATCATCTATAATCAAAACTGTAGTTAGTTATAAGTAACTAACTGCTTCAGACAATGAAGCCATAGCAGAACGTAGCTACTATGACAAAACAATGTAAAACTATGTCTGGTTATGACGTAAAACACAATAATAGGCAGGATGAATGTAAATGTATCACAAGAGGTTACAAAGTATTTGCATAATACATATACATAGCCTTCGACTGTCCATTTGCATTTTTCGGTGTATTCTGCCATCTGAAGAGTCTTTTCATTTGGTCTCCTAGTGTTCTGACAACGTCGTGCTTTCGATGCACTGAAACTTTTCACTCCGTCTGACATTTGTTGTAATTTCGACGCCACGTTCTGCTACACACTACTTACAATCTTGTGAGTAGCGTCCAATACAACAGAACAACTGCGCACTAGTTTCGACTAGATAATGTTTTTGTGCTATTTACAGTAAATAATCATATCAAAGTAAGATGTTAATTGTAAATACTTCTGTAAGTAACTGATAACTATGACCATATTGTGCTGTGATACGACTGAATCCCATCATCCTCCAAAAGCTGTTACCCAGATTCTTTTGTATTTATTTCCTATCAATTTTTCGTCACAATACTTCTCGATGTTAGATGATTTAACAGCTGGAACTGTCTGATAATTTAAACGATATGTCAAGTTATAACTTACTGATCAACAAGATTAGATCGTTGTTCGTGAAATGAACGCATTTCTATTTCATAAGCCAATTCATCACGCACTTCGTTTAACTCTGATTCACGTCGCTTTAAGCGAATCTCTGTTTCTTTTCTCTTCATTTCTGAAGCTTGCAACTCGGAACTCAAGCGACTAAGTTCACACATGTTTTCTTCATATAAATGCTGGACCTCAGATAGCTTAGAAGACAAGGATCGAATTTCATCCAATTTAGATAAAAGTTGGCCCTTGATAATATAAATGTACAGCGAGAAGTTAATAAACTTAGTGTACTACAAAAAAAAACGTGAATTATTCTAAATAGTTTATTAGGATGTGGATCGCTCGGGACAATGAATGATCAATCTTGAGATAGGAGAAACCACCCAAATGACTTTAAATAGAGTTATTATTCTATTGGATACTTTAACATATATTCCGTTATGCATTTAAATATAGTTCCGAATACATGAAGCCATCAACTTTGTAGGCTTAAGTAGGAAGAAAATAATAACCACCCACACCGAAAAAAGTTTTTCCTTAATACTTTTGTAATCCGTACTACTCAATTTATTTGCTAAACGGAAACAAAGATTTATAGTGACTAAAAACTATGAAGAACGATAGGCTTTTTTTTATTAGGACTCGAAAGACAACTGAATGGTTATAGCAATCCAGATGCATCTTAATATTTTTATGAATAATGGATTTCTTTGTTACTACTAATAATAGTGAATACTATTATCATGAATTAGGGGATTTCTATCTGTCTATAGTGCATTTCAAAGTCTTATACAATAACATTCAATAAAATATGAAATGTTAATACGGAATATATAGAATATGGCTAGCAGTGGGGTCCAAGTCTGGGGTCTTGCCCTGTCTGAGATTCGTCAGCTGGATCTACCTGCATCCTTAAGTTGGTGTTTCACTCTGAAACTCGAACCCAGAACCGTTCGTTGCAAACACTAACGCGTTACTTACTTATCTAATGGGTAAAGATAACCACTCGCCAGTGAAAAAATATGAGTTTTAATGCAATTTAAAATGGATTAGATTATCCCGTTGTTTTTATTTTAACTAAACCTTGATAAGTCTTGGTTAACATATATCCATGTTGACAAAAGCTAAACGAGCCTTTTGAATTCGTCAGACACCAACCCATTAGGACTGATCAGACTTCTAAGATAAGTGAATTTGCCGACGCGTTCGACTACTTCACTCCCTATCCTTAGTTCAGGTGTTGACGCAGGCCAGTCCTGGAGTAACAATTTACATTTAGAGGGGGAGAAACGCATCAGAAACATCCTGGCATTATTACTCAGTTCTAACAGAAGACTCTGCATTTTGTCAGCGTCTTCACCAAACAGGACTATATCATCCGCGTATTCTAAGTCAATAAGTGGACCTCCTGGTAAGAGATCAATTCCTGAAAATTCAGTCGACGAGTGTTTTTTCCAGCAATAGGTCTATAATGAAGTTAAACAGAAATGGAGACAATGGATAGCCTTGTCTGGTTTTGCCAACAACCGTTGATTATGAATATAGTGATCTTGAGTGCTGTTAGAGGTATGAGGACGGTTATCACTTCCCGGTTGCTCACACCATGAAAGTGTTCTCCTGGAGGCACCTGAAAAGGAAATTGAGTCAAAAGTGGTCTTAGTAACTTGAGAGTGTGACCACAGTGCCCAAGGGACAACTGCTTGAAGTCGGTCACACACGACTCTTACGTGAGTAATTTTTGTCTTGGCTCAGTACTTGTTGGGACCTTACCGCCGGAGACGGATATCCGTGTTATAAGACGAGATGTGCATTTTTAGGGTCGACCTTTTCTAACCCCACCCCTCCTTGTGGGAAGGCAGCACTATTGTGATGCTGGTTGTCTGAAGGAAACACCTTACTCCTGTCACACCTCTGTACAGTCAGCAGTACGACTTCGCCTTCGGACCTTGGGTTTGCTGCTTTTAGTCTTACCGCTCTTCAACCGACCTGTCTGGCATGGTAGGACCTTGAGGAACGATTGTTCCAGACAGTATAGCTCGATTGGTTCATTACGATAGGCAAACCCGACCACCACGTCAAAATAGCAGCAACGGTCGGGATTACCCATTACACTTAGTGTCTCAAATCCAAGTATCTAGTGAATGAATCAATTATTTGTTATTATATTGTTACAAACCTCGTATTTTAGGCTCATATATTAACTGGATTATCCTCATACCTTGCGAAATACACGAAACTTCAAAGTCAAAGCCTACTTGAACTCATAGATCTATGTCTAACAACATATTTCCAATTCAATAACAAAATCTACAAACAAACAAAAGGGACACCAATGGGATCACCAATATCAGGACTCATCGCGGAAGCAGTAATGCAACGACTAGAAACCACAATTCTACCAGTGATCAAACCAAAAATTTGGATTCGTTATGTAGACGACACATTCGCCATCGTCAAAAAGGAGGAACTAGAAAACACCTACAAGCAGATCAACAACGTCTTCAACGACAACAAGTTCAAAATGGAACAAGAGTCGGAAAACAAGTTACCATTCTTAGATGTATTAATCACCAGAACTGACACAGGAAAACTAGACTCAAGTGCACAGGAAGCCGACCCACACCGATCAAATTCTCAACTACAATAGCAACAACCCAAGAACTCACAAAATAAACTGTGTAAAAACTTTGTTCAAGAGGGCGAGAACACACTGCAATACAATCACAGCACGAAAAAAATGAAGAAAAACACCTGAAAACCATTCTTCAAAAGAACGGCTATCCAATCAATTTCATCAAAAAATACCAGTCACACACACCATCAGAAACGAAATCAAGTATAAAAATCAACAAAAGGATCACCCTACCATACATAAAGGGCATATCAGAAACGACAACAAGGCTGCTGAAAACCTTCGGAATAGGTGTAGCCCACAAACCAACAAAGTCCCTCCACTCAATCTTATGCAGACCAAAAGATGAAATGGCAAAAGAGGACAAAACAAACATCATCTACAAGATAAATTGTACCAACTGCAACAAACACTATATTGGACAAAGCGGACGCCCCCTGCATCTTCGCCTACATGAACACCAATTATCAGTCAAACGCCACGACATTTCTTCACTCATATCAATACACGTGGACAACTATGGACATACATTCGACTGGGAAAATGTGCAGATTTTGGACAGAGGCAATTCCAAAAATACCAGAGAATTTTTAGAAGCTTGGCACTCAGGTCAATCAGCAATAAACAAACATATTGACATCAATCCAATCTACCAACCAATCAAAAAAAATTATGCAGGAACATAGGAACAAAAATCAAACCAATAGGAGATACAACCAAAACAAAGAAATAAACAATGACAGATTTAAGGTCAATAAGAACCAATCAACATCGAGGTGCAGAGGACAAGCTGTGAATCACATGTGGAGAAATTCAAACACTTCACTTCTACCCGAAGTTTGTGCTGATGATGTCGTTCAGAAGGACGATGAAAGCTCCACGACCAAACCATCCAGCTCAGAGAACAAACCAACATCAAAATTATCCTCATACCTTCAATTTTTAACCAGATTGACATTTTATTTTTTTTCCGCATCCATTTGAGGCACTGTTGAATCAAGATTATCTCTGTATAATAACATTCATGAACATATTATTAACTGATAATCTTATCTATTACTACAGCCTCCTTTTCTTTATCTCTTCGCAGCTTTAAATATTATTGTTACAACTAGGGTTCTATCTGAATTCTCGAATTTTAAAATGTGATAAGCTGACGCAATAGATCATTAAGGCGCATTCGACGTGGTATAGTTTTTAGACTGTTTATTTTTTAATCTACATTCTCAATGTCACCAATAACGATAATTCTGTTATCGCTAACTAATCTAAGTTATTAAGAACATCACCAAGACTATATATTAGAGCTTCGGAAGTCTACGTTTTGACCTTGTATAAGGCACTTTTCCTAGTTTAAAAATCACATGAAGCAGATACATCTCAAAAAAACTTAATATCTACTAATTAAACACATTAAAATTGATGTTTTTTAGATTTTTATGTAGTAGCAAATAAAAGGACAAAACAGTCTTTAAAAAAATTAAAATATTAAGTTCATGTAACCCATAAAGTTCTTGGTCATATAAAATCACAACTTAGGAGTAATTCTTGAAGGTAAACACAACTTGAAATAATCATTGGGTTCCCCAGAAAAACTTACATTCGAAACAAACTTATTGACCACCATTTACTAACCTTAGGAACAACTTGTGGTGACTCTAGAATTGATTTTAATGAAAACAGAGGAGAGTCTATTTCTGACTCGAAATCATTTCCAAACCCAGATTTTGTGATACAGCTTTTTCCTTTGCGAACATGAAGCGATTCAAAAAAGGTTTGTGGAGATGAGTATAAGGAGTGACCAGTACATCTGTAAGAAAGTTCATTCCCAGAATGTGTATCATCAAAAGTAAGGTCAGGACCAGTTACATTTAATTCTTTGTGTCCAAACGGTAACATTGGTACTTTTGAAATGACAGGACAAGTCAAAGGAGCTAGAAAGACTTAGAAATAAATGGAACTTACCCTTTATATTCCTGCTCTGGTGAATGGGTGTCAGCGGGTGGTTTTCTAAATCTAAGCTTAACGCTTCAAAAGAAGTCATCGAGATGGGGCAATCTTCAATAAGAGGTTGAGTCATTTCAACAATATGATAATGCATTGTGCTAGGAAGCTTGAATGCTGCACTCATAAATAATTTGGACTTCAAGCGCAGACCCATGGTCAAAACCAGTAGCAAAAACTAGAAGATTACTTACATAAAGAGAACTTACACAATAGTATCGGTAAGTAGGTCCACGGTTATCATCGGCATTTGTTGGGAAAATAGAGTTAAAATCAACAGAAAAGAAATCTAAAGCATTACTAATATAAATTGTATACCCGACAAAATATTGTGAACCGTTTCGGGTATATCTTCATTGTTGATAACAGTGCTCATACTTGAATCCTTGCTTCAATTGTAGAAGAAAAATAAATAATAATCCATTGTTAGAAACTGATTAAAGTATTCAACTGTAAACCGTTAGCTTGCTCAAAACTGTACACAAAAGCTACCTTAAAACCAATAGTATAATAGTTCGCAATGAATTCACCCTTTGATACTTCATGTTAACTTAGAAGCTCTTACAACTACCTTTTAGGCTCCTCTAAAACTCAAGCAACATGACTGGTGACGCAAGTTTACAAGTCTTGACAAGAAAATTGTAGTCACTTTCCAGATTCCCAGGAGCTCATCTCAGTTGTGAATACCCATGAATCTTTGTGGGAAACTTAGACTAAACAGCTACTAACTTATATGGGTAATGAAATAGCTATTCAAGCCAGGAAGAGAATATTTACTGCATTGGAAACAGTATAGAAGTGCAAACAAAAGAATTGAAGGACCCCATTATTTCTTTTCTGACACGTCACAAATACACAGTGAAGTCGAGCTCCGAAACAAATAGTCAACTTTAACAAATTAGATAAAAATAGCTAGATATTTTGCAACCCATCTGAATATCTTAACATCAGAGTGGTAATTACCTGGGAAAAACCAACCAACCCAATATTGAAACAAACGATTTATTAAGTTGAATACACAACCCATCAGGTCACAAATATTTTCCGGGTTAATTATCAAATCAAGCGCCCGCATTAATGAATTAGCTATCATAAGAAAGACGGTTGATGCATAGAAATAGTAACACTTGAAACAAATCAATGAGCATCTACAGCTGACTTCTACTTCACCTATTTTCAAACTATATTTCCAAATTCATACTTCCAGCTTCATACCTATGTCATGATTAAGACTATGTTAAGAATTAGTAGACTTTGTTTCTTGAAGTAGACTGAGAAAACTCAACAGTTTGTAAAGGGATATACTGAACTTAATCAAATCCCTTGGGCTATATAAAAATAGCATGAGGCTATTTGTCATAAGAGACTCGAATGAAAACAACTGGTCACTAATGACCGCAAGTGATTTTTTTAAACACGAAAACTACTTTACTGCTTACCACAGATCGATAAGCTGAAGAAGCGTCTGCCACTCCCGAACATTTTTATCACTGCTGGACGGAATAATGTGCTCTACCCATTGTTGCAAACATCTGACTCTATTCTCATTTACTTCCATGTTGCGTGACATTAGGGAACTACCTATGTCAGCGAACTTGTAAAGGTCAATCTGAAACGAGAAAAATCGTTCACAAACCCAGACGTGGTAAATTAAACCATCAACTATGATATCGGAGGGTTGAGAAACAAGTGCTACTTCGACTTACCAGAACCAATACATTAACTAGCCGAAAGCACAACGAACTTACAACCACAGTAACGAAAAACGGGCGATGTCGAAAGCCCGCTTACTGTTTTATTAGACATTTTCGACAATTTAAAAGAACATGTTTGCGCTAACGAGGAATTTTTTAAGTACTACAGGAATGCTTACGATTAAGATTTTGGCCGCGAAAAATTACTTTTTTTGTTGTTAGCATGCATCCAGAATTCACAGTGGTTGCTGCCGTCATCAGACATATGTACGTATATCACTGAACTCTAACCAAATTTTCATGTTCTAGTATGACATTTTGCTCGAGAAAAGCTGTACAGCCACTTAATCCATTCAAAAATAACGATGTGGTACACTTATTTTATTAAGCATATTCAAAAACGTAAATGGTTTAAACATTTGCAGTACTGAATTCACTTAGTATTGTTTGTTTGGATCTTCCCATCGATGTGTTTAGGACTGCAACTGGTCAGTCTCTAATTGGCATATGTGCATACTGTGCGTATTGCCTCGATATACCTTAATTCACAAGCATGGTAAGAAGAGATGGATAGTGGCTAGCAGTGGAATCCAGGACGCGCGTTTCGTCCTATTTGGGACTCGTCAGCTGGATGTACGTGCATCTCAGAGTTGATGTTCACTCTGAGACACAAGCAAGTGGCTATCAGGACTCAGTGGCCGAGTGGATAACGCGATGGCGTTTGAAGCGAGGGTACTGGGTTCGAGTCCCAGAGTGAACATCAACTCTGAGATGCAGGTACATCCAGCTGACGAGTCCCAAATAGGACGAAACGCGCGTCCTGGATTCCACTGCTAGCCACTATCCATCTCTGCTTACCATATTTGCAGTACTGTTTTCAAAACTCTGACTACTTATTAATATTATGTCAGTAAATTCCTAGAAGTTTTCGGACATCATCACACAACATCATTAGAACCCGACATCCACGAGATACAGTCGGTATAAATGATAATGGTATCGGAAAAAGGCCGTCTATCAAGTCACTTACGAATGCCTGTTCGAAAAATGATGTTACTCTCCGACAGATTATTGGACCTTCCTCAACCGGGGCACTGTAAGTTATAGCGTTTTATTCACGCGTTGCTGTGAAGTGGTTGCAGGTTATGAATTTAGCCTACAGCATCTTCTAGAACCACCGGCCAGTTGTCATAATGTAACTATGGCGTTTAAGTCCCTCGTAGAAATGATCAGGTGTCTTCCCGAGCATCTCCCTAGAATGAGCTGCCGCCGTTCATTAAGCTGACTTTCACTACATTCGACGCTATAATTGGTGGCTTTGTTGCACTTATTGACACTTATTGTAAACCCTTGCTTACTGCTTTTTAAGATACTTCAATGATCCTAGATCCATAGGTTACCCATAAAAAAGACACATTTTGTGCTGATTTGGAAAACATCAGTGTAACTTCTTTTGTAGCCGATGCACTTTCTTCTTTGTGACCAGAACAATATTTTCGTCCAGCTTATAACCAATAGGTTTCTTTTACTCCAAGCGCCACCAGGTTGTATCTCCTCATTTCTGCTGCTATTTTAATGGTCATCCCGGTCTTCTACATTGTCCGAACAATCTATATACCTATATCGATTGTTGGTCGGATTCATGAGAATGAAATCGGCACTCTAGTTTTCAAAGAATATCGGCTTTCAATATGAGGCGAAATAATTTCTCTATGTGAAGGCTCTCCAACGCCCAGTCCAGAACCTAAATGGATTAGTTTATTAATTCTGGTCGGCGACTTTGTAGTGCGAATCTTCTTCATGATGTTGGTAGTTAACCCTACACCCAATGTTTATGAATGTGAAAGTGTCCGAGTCTGATCATGGCATTCGATATTTCTACGGTGGCTCGTGAGTGATGCATCAAGCTAGCCGGTCGAATACCTAATGACCCCCCATTCATTCGGGGCCACGTCATCTCCACTTTGTGTAGACTTTGTTATAAATAAGACAGCACATAAGTCTCTATGAAGATGATTGCGTGATATCCTTTTCCACCCGCAAATTGACAAAGATGTGTTTGCGCAATCGCATGTGTATGAGTTTAATTTCTTTTTTCTCCCGCTTTATGTCTCCGCGCTCGTAAGAGTGTGGTTCGACATACAACTACATTTTCTTTTTTCTTTTCCAGGACGGCTGGGAAAGAAGAAAAGGAGCGACGAAGTTCACAATGAGCCGAAATTTTGATTGTACATTTTTTCCTTATAACTATATTGCACATGGCTTCCTATAGTAAGGATAGACGAACAGACGCTGCTCAACATAGCAAGCTATCAGAAGATTGTTTACCAACGACAAACTAGTTGGGTTTAAACTTTGGCTGTCCACGTCGTAGGGTCACCACAACTCCACTAGGGGGGGTGATCCGTAGAGGTAAATAGATCTCCAAAATCAGCACCTCTGTAAGTGTTCGACATTGGATGACCACCACATTAGTTTCAATGGGCTCATCTAGCTGAAAGCGATCGGTCATGTATCCTCACCAGATCACGAGTAGGAACGCCATACTCAACATCCCCCGCAATCGCTAACCGGTCTAGATCAGCCTATCCTCAATATATTGATTGCCTATCAAATATATCTTCCAACGACATCATTTCTTACTTCTCATTTCACTAGATAGGTACGATTCATAATAGGTGTTACTGGTGAAAGTGTTGTCAAACTACAGAAACTATGGCATCTTCAAAGGATCAATAAGAGGACTGATGGACTCAATGCGAAGGTAGGATTTCATTCAGGGGTGTGTCGGAAATCGATTATGGAACAGTTGCTTACGCGAGAGCTAATTATATGCAGAAACTACCGAACTGTGTTTCGTTGTTTGGCAAGTTCAGAGTAGCACCAGAAGAACGAATCACCATAAAAAGGCACGAGACGTCGGCAGTGCTAATTGTGAGGATGAGTAAAGTCCATGAGAGGGGTTTTCCTAACTACTTCTGTGAAGCGAACTTCTATGAAAATTCAGTGGTAGTGTTGTACTACATAAGAACTACCGAGGGCCGGTACAGTACTAACATCGCTTCGCTGTTGTGCATCACTACACGAAGTCTGATCAGTGGCGTTATATGAGGTCACTACAGAACCCAGACAATTGGGCCACGTGAGGTATACAGAAAGTAAACGATCTTAGATATTAATCTGAATGCCTTGCCTTGTAGGATCCCCTCAAGTGCCCTGGTATGGCCGAGAGTGAAGAGAGTCGGCTCTCCTCGAAATGCTCTCACATGACCACGCGTATATAGTCTCTGTCAGGGAAGTCCTACTCACTGTCTTCTCGTGGCATTACTATTGTTTACGAAATTGAGAGAACGGAAAGCGAATGTCCGGTGCTTTAACCAGGTTGGTGGACACGACGAGTCCACCTAGGGGAGTTGGAAAACCCTGATTCTAAATCAATCGTGCACATGGGTTCCAGTATCCTGAGAGAACAAATAGCGTATAAACCAATTGTTGGTCACTAGCTACCACGGGCTGCATCTCGTTACGATAATCCACTGCCTTGTGGATTAAACCTAGATGCCAAAGGCTCCGGGTGTGGCCCCCTAAGAAAACCACCTGCTTCGGTTTGGGCATCCGAGCAGTATCATAGCCCACACACAAATCACTTGACTTATGTGACGCATATGTATTCGGCGCCCCCCGTGTACCAATATTTATGTGTTCATATAAATAAATAATAAATAAATTCTCTGTAAGATGGTAATTTTCCTAGATTGTTGACTGACTTTCTGGAACCTTTTCCTGAAAATAAGGTTTAAACAACCAAGTGCCGTAGTTAGCTTGAATAGTACTAAACACAGAAGTTCCCCTTTTCTTTTTTATTACTTTGAGTGGATGAAGTCAATCAGGCCCTTAGCCCGGTTTTGGAGGTCTGTCAAATTTCTAATGGATATGTGTTCACCAAATTGTCAAGGATCTCTTCATCTGAGAAACTTAAATGCCAACAAATCGGAAATCCCTAAACGTAAAGTTTGGATGACGGTGCAGGAAGAAATGTATGGGGAACCGTTGGTTGGATTCAGTAATAGCCATAAAATAGTCAGATATAATGATTTGAAAGAATTACCGACGATAATACTAGATGAATTACTCCATGTTTGAGGTATCTTGAACTATTTAAATTTTCCAAATACTTTTTAAACATTCGATAACAGTAATCAACAACAACTTAATGACAGAACTATCATTATACTCTATCATAGAAAAGGACATACAGGAATGTCCCAAATATTGGCCACAATTCGCTGAAACTATGGGGTGGCGAAAAGACTCGGCACAATTGAGAGTGACTGGAAAATGTGCAACTTCTTGGCAGTCTACGATGAATGCAGGACAATATTTAATGGAACCATCTCTTGCTTGTAGAGTGCAGCAAGGCTGGTGTGGCTTTTCAAAAGTATCAGCAGACTAATTTGTACCCTTTGCAGTTAGAGGAAGAAGATCACTGAAAAAATAAAGATATGGATATGTACTTTACTTGTTCTCAACCACGAACAATACACAACAAAATGACGTATAGTCTGAACACAGATTCATTTATAATGTCCTTGTTCCATTTAATAGAACGATGGGGACCCGCAGAAATATACAACGATAACGAATCACATTTTGTGGGGAGAGTTTCTGAACCAAGGGCATTTTTGCAACAGGGTGATCAGCGGAAGATTGGTGACGAATTTTCAAGGACTTCTTCCTTGGCAATCAGCACCTTACGTGGATTGCCCCCTTCGATGTCTCAAGTGACCATAGATGCTCTGATGATTGTAAAATACAAAGGACGTTATTACAGGAATATATTAGCTAAAGTAGATACAAGCGAAAATAAAACCACTAC